TAGAGGGTTTACTCGCTCTGATGTTAATCGTGATGTTAGAGGGTTTACTCGCTCTGATGTTAATCGTGATGTTAGAGGGTTTACTCACCCTGGTGTTAATCGTGATGTTAGAGGGTTTACTCACTCTGATGTTAATCACGATGTTAAAGGGTTTACTCACCCGGATGTTAAAGGGTTTATTCACCCTGGTGTTAATCGCGATGTTAGAAAGCTTACTCGCTCTAATGTTAATCGTGATGTTAGAGGGGGTTATTCACCCTGGTGTTAATCCGATGTTCGAGGGGGTTACTCACTCAGATGTTAATCGTGATGTTAGAAGGGGTTACTCACTCTGATGTTAATCGTGATGTTAGAGGGTTTACTCACGCTGATGTTAATCGTGATATTAGAGGGGGTTACTAACCCTGGGGTTAATCGTGATGTTAGAGGGTTTACTCACTCTGATGTTAATCGTGATGTTAGAGGGTTTACTCGCTCTGATGTTAATCGTGATGTTAGAGGGTTTACTCACTCTGATGTTAATCGTGATGTTAGAGGGTTTACTCGCTCTGATGTTAATCGTGATGTTAGAGGGTTTACTCACTCTGATGTTAATCGTGATGTTAGAGGGTTTACTCACCCTGGTGTTAATCGTGATGTTAGAGGGTTTACTCACTGATGTTAATCGTGATGTTCTGATGTTAATTACTCACTCACTCTGATGATGTTAATCGTGATGTTAGAGTTTACTTACTCACCTCGTGATGTTAATCGTGATGTTAGAGGGTTTACTCACCTGATGTTAATCGTGATGTTAGAGGGTTTACTCACTCTGATGTTAATCGTGATGTTAGAGGGTTTACTCACTCTGATGTTAATCGTGATGTTAGAGGGGTTTACTCACTGATGTTAATCGTGATGTTAGAGGGGTTACTCACCTGATGTTAATCGTGATGTGATACTCGCTCTGATGTTAATTGATGTTAGAGGGTTTACTCACTCTGATGTTAATCGTGATGTTAGAGGTTTACTCACTCTGATGTTAATCGTGATGTTAGAGGGTTTACTCGCTCTGATGTTAATCGTGATGTTAGAGGGTTTACTCGCTCTGATGTTAATCGTGATGTTAGAGGGTTTACTCGCTCTGATGTTAATCGTGATGTTAGAGGGTTTACTCACTCTGATGTTAATCGTGATGTTAGAGGGTTTACTCACTCTGATGTTAATCGTGATGTTAGAGGGTTTACTCACTCTGATGTTAATCGTGATGTTAGAGGGTTACTCACTCTGATGTTAATCGTGATGTTAGAGGGTTTACTCACTCTGATGTTAATCGTGATGTTAGAGGGTTTACTCGCTCTGATGTTAATCGTGATGTTAGAGGGTTTACTCACTCTGATGTTAATCGTGATGTTAGAGGGGTTTACTCACCCTGATGTTAATCGTGATGTTAGAGAGTTTACTCACTCTGATGTTAATCGTGATGTTAGAGGGTTTACTCACTCTGATGTTAATCGTGATGTTAGAGGGTTTACTCACTCTGATGTTAATCGTGATGTTAGAGGGTTTACTCACTCTGATGTTAATCGTGATGTTAGAGGGTTACTCACTCTGATGTTAATCGTGATGTTAGAGGGTTTACTCACTCTGATGTTAATCGTGATGTTAGAGGGTTTACTCGCTCTGATGTTAATCATGATGTTAGAGGGTTTACTCGCTCTGATGTTAATCGTGATGTTAGAGGGTTTACTCGCTCTGATGTTAATCGTGATGTTAGAGGGTTTACTCACTCTGATGTTAATCGTGATGTTAGAGGGATTACTTGCTCTGATGTTAATCGTGATGTTAGAGGGTTTACTCGCTCTGATGTTAATCGTGATGTTAGAGGGGTTACTCACCCTGATGTTAATCGTGATGTTAGAGGGTTACTCACACTGATGTTAATCGTGATGTTAGAGGGGGTTACTAACCCTGGGGTTAATCGTGATGTTAGAGGGTTTACCTCCTTTGATGTTAAGCGTGATGTTAGAGAGTTTACTCACGCTATGTTAATCATGATGTTAGAGGGGGTTACTCACTCTAATGTGAATCGTGATGTTACAGAGGGTTTCTCACCCTGATGTTAATCGTGATGTTAAAGGGGTTACTCGCTCTGATGTGAATCGTGATGTTAGAGAGTTTACTCACGCTATGTTAATCGTGATGTTAGAGGGGGTTACTCACTCTGATGTGAATCGTGATGTTAGAGGGTTTACTCTCGCTGATTTTAATCATGATGTTAAAGGGGTTACTCGCTCTGATGTGAATCGTGATGTTAGAGAGTTTACTCACGCTATGTTAATCATGATGTTAGAGGGTTTACTCACGCTGATGTTAATCGTGATGTTAGAGGGTTTACTCGCTCTGAGGTTAATCGTGATGTTAGAGGGGGTTACTCACCCGGATGTTAATCGTGATGTTAGAGGGGGTTACTAACCCTGGGGTTAATCGTGATGTTAGAGGGTTTACTCGCTCTGATGTTAATCGTGATGTTAGAGGGTTTACTCGCTCTGATGTTAATCGTGATGTTAGAGGGTTTACTCGCTCTGATGTTAATCGTGATGTTAGAGGGGGTGTTCACTCTCTGATGTTAATCGTGATGTTAGAGGGTTTACTCACTCTGATGTTAATCGTGATGTTAGAGGGTTTACTTCCTCTGATGTTAATCGTGATGTTAGAGGGTTTACTCGCTCTGATGTTAATAGTGATGTTAGAGGGGTTACTAACCCTGGTGTTAATCGTGATGTTACAGGGGGTTACTCACACTGATGTTAATCGTGATGTTAGAGGGGGTTACTAACCCTGGGGTTAATCGTGATGTTAGAGGGTTTACCTCCTTTGATGTTAAGCGTGATGTTAGAGAGTTTACTCACGCTATGTTAATCATGATGTTAGAGGGGGTTACTCACTCTAATGTGAATCGTGATGTTACAGAGGGTTTCTCACCCTGATGTTAATCGTGATGTTAAAGGGGTTACTCGCTCTGATGTGAATCGTGATGTTAGAGAGTTTACTCACGCTATGTTAATCGTGATGTTAGAGGGGGTTACTCACTCTGATGTGAATCGTGATGTTAGAGGGTTTACTCTCGCTGATTTTAATCATGATGTTAAAGGGGTTACTCGCTCTGATGTGAATCGTGATGTTAGAGAGTTTACTCACGCTATGTTAATCGTGATGTTAGAGGGTTTACTCACGCTGATGTTAATCGTGATGTTAGAGGGTTTACTCGCTCTGAGGTTAATCGTGATGTTAGAGGGTTACTCACCCTGATGTTAATCGTGATGTTAGAGGGGGTTACTAACCCTGGGGTTAATCGTGATGTTAGAGGGTTTACTCGCTTTGATGTTAATCGTGATGTTAGAAGGGGTTATTCACTCTGATGTTAATCGTGATGTTAGAGGGTTTACTCACTCTAATGTTAATCGTGATGTTAGAGGGTTTACTCGCTCTGATGTTCATCGTGATGTTAGAGGGTTTACTCGCTCTGATGTTAATCGTGATGTTAGAGAGTTTACTCACTCTGATGTTAATCGTGATGTTAGAGGGTTTACTCACCTGATGTTAATCGTGATGTTAGAGGGTTTACTCACTCTGATGTTAATCGTGATGTTAGAGGGTTTACTCACTCTGATGTTAATCGTCACTCTGATGTTAATCGTGATGTTAGAGGGTTTACTCGCTCTGATGTTAATCGTGATGTTAGAGGGTTTACTCGCTCTGATGTTAATCGTGATGTTAGAGGGTTTACTCACTCTGATGTTAATCGTGATGTTAGAGAGGGTTTACTCACTCTGATGTTAATCGTGATGTTAGAGGGTTTACTCGCTCTGATGTTAATCGTGATGTTAGAGGGTTTACTCGCTCTGATGTTAATCGTGATGTTAGAGGGTTTACTCACTCTGATGTTAATCGTGATGTTAGAGGGATTACTCACTCTGATGTTAATCGTGATGTTAACTCTGATGTTAATCGTGATGTTAGAGGGTTTACTCGCTCTGATGTTAATCGTGATGTTGATGTTAGAGGGATGTTAATCGTGATGTTAGAGGGTTTCTCGCTCTGTTAATCGTGATGTTAGAGGGTTTACTCGCTCTGATGTTAATCGTGATGTTAGAGGGGGTTACTCACCCTGGTGTTAATCGTGATGTTACAGGGGGTTACTCACGCTGATGTTAATCGTGATGTTAGAGGGGGTTACTAACCCTGGGGTTAATCGTGATGTTCGAGGGTTTACTCGCTTTGATGTTAATCGTGATGTTAGAGAGTTTACTCACGCTATGTTAATTGTGATGTTAGAGGGGGTTACTCACTCTGATATGAATCGTGATGTTAGAGGGTTTACTCACGCTGATTTTAATCGTGATGTTAGAAGGGTTTACTCACTCTGATGTTAATCGTGATGTTAGAGGGTTTACTCACTCTGATGTTAATCGTGATGTTAGAGGGTTTACTCACTCTGATGTTAATCGTGATGTTACAGGGGGTTACTCACCCTGGTGTTAATCGTGATGTTAGAGGGTTTACTCACGCTGCTGTTAATCGTGATGTTAGAGGGTTTACTCACTCTGATCTTAATCGCAATATTAGAGGGTTTACTTGCTCTGATGTTAATCGTGATGTTAAAGAGGGTGACTCACCTTGTTGTTAATCTTGATGTTAGAGGGGGTTAGTGGTCCTCATGTTAATCGTGATGTTATAGGTGGTTACTGACCCTGATGTTAATCGTGATGTTAGAGAGGGTTACTCACTGTGGTGTTAATTGTGATGTTAAAGGGGGTTTCTCACTCTGATGTTTGATCGTGATGGTAGCGGTAGTACCCCGCTGGAGTAACAGGTTAATGGAAGTGGTAGTTCCCCATTATGGATTAGTGTTGAGATAGTGGTTCCTTCGAATGACTAAGTAGATACAAGTTAATTAAATAGGTCTACATAGATATAGATATATACAATGTACATATATGTTGATTCTCCCATTTCAGACAAACTGTGGTGATGTGCTTCTCTCTATCAACCCCTTTAAGGTGTTGCCAATATACAGCGAGGAGGTAGGTATCGTAAAAAACACATTATACCTCGATCGCTTCAGGTGCAATATTACTATCAGCCGGCAGCTGAAACAAGTTTCCATGATATGATATGATATGATATGATATGATATGATATGATATGATATGATATGATATGATATGATATGATATATGATATGATATATGATATATGATATGATATGATATGATATGATATGATATGATATGATATGATATGATATGATATGATATGTGGTATGGAGTGAGGTAAAGTGAAGTGAAGTACAGTGAAATAGTGTGTTGTGTTGTGTTGTGATGTGATATATGGTATGTCGTATGAAGTGAAGTGAAAAGTGAAGTGGTGTGGTGTGATACAATGTGAAATGATATGATATGATTGGGGCGTGTCTGAAATTGCCCTACATTCAAGAATCACACACGCCAAATTGTAAATGATTTTACGTATTTCCATGTTATGCACAATGTAACACATGCCTTTTAAATGATACAAGTTTGATGATGGTAAACATGGTGGAATAAGGAAATGGTTCATCCATGTATCTGATAGTTATTTTTTACCTTAGGCTTTTGCCCGGTAGTGTATTTGAATTGATATGTTTACAGTACCACGATGAGTACAGCTTGGAAAGACTGCATCATGACATGGAACCCCATATATTCCAAACGGCCGCCATGGCCTTCAAGAAGCTCAACGAGACTCACACCAACCAGGTAAAGGCCAGGGTGCCGTTGTACAAAGCGATCTTATGGTAACCGTAACTCCCATACCTTAACATAGACTTAAGGTAGTCTTAGCGCTTAGGTCTTTTTGTACAACCGCACTCTGGATATAGTTGACTGAACAAGCGCCGTTTTGTGTACCGAGATTTCCATATTATGACTTGTATTCCACTGAACGTCGATTTATGAAACATAAACGAGAGGTCAATACATAAGAGCAATTGTTTCGCTTATACTCATGATAAGGGCATGATAACAATGCGTTTGAGTCTTTAAATGTTTCAAATATTTTTTGTCTTGGATTTTGTGTATATCTCTCTTGATCGATAGAACACGTGATTAAGACCCCAATCTGTCCTCCTTGATGTCACTGAATATATATAAATAGATATGTCAGTTAAGACAATGTACAAAAACATCTACAGTATCTAGTAGAGCACCGTCAGCAGGATGTAACACACGAAACAGACCTCGACATGACAGTTAACCAAACCCCCACCCACACCTTGGCTGTTCACTGTATGCATGTCAGTTATATGTTATATATGTTAAACATATACCTCTGTATATAATTAACGTTTACGACAATCTGTAGGTTAATGGACAGTGTCTTCTGGGATATCAGCAGCAGGATAATGTTTCATAAGATGCATACCCAGTAGGATGTAGGCAAGTTATGTATTAAACCAAATAAGTAAAACCGATGTTGGATGCTAACTGTATGCGACAGTTTGAAGAAGTGATGTTGTAATCTCACCAACAGGTCGTGTTGGTGTCTGGGGAGTCAGGCTCGGGGAAGACGGAGAACACCAAATACATGGTCAAGCATCTGATGACCATGTGTGGCCGCTCGCATGAAGGTCTGGAAGACAAGATACTGGAGGTGAGTCTACAGGCCATTTAACAACGCTTTCACGTACCACGGACTGGGGCAGAAGTCTGTAAATAGTAGTCTGGATCAGACAATCCAGTGATTGACATCACGGCCATCGTGTGATGCAGCCGGGATACGATGTCAGGTCTCTTACTCCAGGTATTGGTTGCTGAAGAGCAGTCTTTAATCGGAACTTCGCTGTTTTTGTCAGGACTGATTATAATTGCTAGTTTAAAGTGGTAGATTTTATATGTGTTTCTATCTTAAGGACAATAGTTTTTTAAAAACCTCAGGAATTGCATGTTAGTGAGTATGTTTTACGCCGCTTTTAGCAATATTCCAGCATCATGAGAGAGGAAGCCAAAAATGGACTTCACACATTGTACCCATGTCTGGAATCAAACCCAGGTCTTCGACGTGTTAACCACTAGTCTACCCCCACTATCTCTAGGAAGTGCATGTACTTTGAAACTGTTACAAAGAATACCAATTTCCACAGTGAAAATATCACAATTTGCTCTCTTCATTTGTTATGCTAATATTCTGATCAGTGATTAATATGACATATGTGTTTCAGATAAACCCTGTGATTGAAGCATTTGGGAATGCACAGACTGTTCTCAACGACAACTCGAGCAGATTTGCCAAGTACTTACAGCTTGACTTTGGCAAAAATGGAAGCATTCGGGGAGGTATGCACATATCATGTTGTCCAAGTCTACAGCCGCCCATAGCTGGAATATTGCTGAGTGCGGCGTTAAACAACAGCCAAACCAAATTCATGTTGTACAATCCACATTTTATCTGCCTTTCTTAGTAACCAGAGCTTAGCCTGTTGTAGTGAGGATAGTTTTACGCCGCTTTTAGTAATATTCCAGCAACATCACGGCGGGGGACACACACACACACACACACACACACACACACACACACACACACACACACACACACACACACACACACACACACACACACACTGTCTGTTGCAAGGCTAATATTGAAATATACCTCGCAACCTGTTGCAAGGCTAATATTGAAATATACCTCGCAAACAGTGCCCCACACTGATAGGTCATTTGAAGAGAATTCTTCCTATTTCACAATTGTGACCCCATCCCTTGAAGATGGGCACCTATAATTTGGAGCCTTCTCTTAACTCCATATTCCTTACGAATGGTGTGTGTGTGCCCAAAGTTTACCCATGCTTAGGTCCTTATCAGACAGGACATGGATTAATTTAAAACGGGTATGCTGATGGGGAATTGTAACACCAGGAAGGTGACAAATTACTGCTTATGAATAGTCAACGTATAATGTATATATACAACATTCAATGCCTGCCTATGTATTAACAGAAATAGGGGCGGTGGGGTAGCCTTGTGGTTAAAGCGTTGGCTCGTCACGCCGAACACCCGGGTTCGATTTCACAAATTTATCGTAGCGCTACGACTGTCGTACCTCCTATGCTGTACCATAGACTTACGACACATGGGTACAATGTTTGAAGCCTATTTCTAGTGTCCCCCCGCCGTGATATTGCTGGTGTATTGCTAAAAGCGGCGTTAAACCATACTCACACACTCATTAACAGAAAGTAAATGAAGGGTTAATAGAGTTCCCAGATTTTCAATATTAAAAACGTGCTGAAGGCGGCACCACATCGATGATATTGATCCTTGAGAATGCTTCCAGAAAGTAAAACAAAACCTACTGCATGATTTCTGTTAGGGGATATGACCCTGAGACTTTACTTTGACGACCTAGCGACCAGACTGTCCCACTGCCCTAACCAGAATCGGGCTTAACATGTGGCGTGTGTATGTAAAACGTCCCAATACGTCCTCACAGCTTCCATGAAGGACTACATGCTGGAGAAGAGCCGGGTGGTACATCAAGGAAGCGGAGAAAGCAATTTCCACATCTTCTACAAATTCCTGGCAGGGCTTACGGATGAAGATCGAGTCTTCCTGTCCATTGACAAGGAGAAGAAATTCAAGTAAGTTTCTCTCGCAATATTTAGTCAAAATAGATGTTTCCAGTGGGAATGTGGTGGATTTTCCGCTTTAAACAGTTTTCCAGTGCTTTTTATATCAAACAATATTGAGGTAATGTGGGTGAGTGTGAATGGGTGAGTTTAGTTTTATGCCGCTTTCTGCAACATTCCATCAATATCATGGCGGGGGAAGCTAGAAATGGGCTTCCCACATTGTCGCCATAAGTGGAATCAAACCCTGGCCTTCGGCATGACGAGCAAACGCTTTACCACTAGGCTACGCCACTGGCCCCAATGGTAAAGTGTACCCATGAACTAAACAGATAGTAACCAATTACAATACAAGTCAGCGGATCCTGATACAACTAAGATATAAACATGATATTACATGGACATGTTCTTATCTCAAAATATTGGTAGCCGTGGATATGTTCCCCAAGGGTAACAGCTGGACCTTCACAGTTATCTTGTGTTCTAGAATCGCAAGAGACAGAGGCAAACAGAGGACCTCTGAAGACGCTGAGGATTACCGCAGATATTTCGAGGTTTTGAAGAAAATTGGAATTCCCGAAGAGGTTTGTAAAACTATTCACAACAAATCCGAATAAGTTCCCAAATAACGAATCGATACAATAACTAGCGTGCCAGTCGGTTGCATCGTGGGATGAAAGAAAATATGTATCAACAAACCTATTCTTTACGACTCTGTGAGACATTAAAAATTAAGGAGACTGAGTATGAGAGTTGTATTATATGTCCGAAATTTACCCGAAATATACTCATGTTTGTAAGGATTAGCGGTACAGTTGGTTTAGGGCCGCTTCGAACAGTATTCCAGTGTCATCGCAGCGTGGTCAGCTTAACGTGTGAGCTAGGATCACAGTAATGCAGGTCTGTGACTAGTTGACACACGGTCATTGAACCACATTATCTCCCCTCCCTCCCAACCCTATCTGCAATGCAAAACTCTAGATGAAACAAGTGTAGATTTCCTCAGGTTTAGAATTCTGAGCTCACTGAGGCAGCTTTTCAATTTAAATGGAGTTATTTGTTTGTATCGGAATTATATATTCACAGACTAAACGTTCGTCTTGTCTCTGAGGGGGACCACTTTGGTGAAACTCGTGGTTTTTAATGGTTTTAATGCTGAAGAAACAAGATGTCTTGAGAACACCAAACCGTCGGTTTGTGATACGCTCTCCATAGAACAAATTAATGTTGTATCAACTTGCCATAGTGGTAAAAACCAATTGATATCGTTGTATTAATATGATTGATTGATCTGTTATAAATATCGAAGAGCTGGATATATATTTCGTTTTCAGGAAAGAGATAATATACAGAGGATATTGGCAGCCATTATACACCTGACAGAGATAGAGTTCTTGGAGGATCCGAAAAGTGACACTTCTGAAATATGGGATGAGGAGCCCTTGAATATTGGTGAGATCATCTAGGGGCCGAGAGTATTAGCGTCAATGTGCCATTTGAAATATGATTTTTTGTAAATATGATTTTTTGCAATATTCCAGCAATATCACGGCGGGGGACACCAGAAATGGGCTTCACACATTGTACCCATGTGGAGAATCGAACCCGGGTCTTCAGCGTGACGAGTGAACGCTTTAACCACTAGGCTACCCCACCGCCCCCTTTTTTGTAAGGGTGCTGTTGCCTATGAGTATTCAAGGCCAAACTTGGATGTGGGCTTCAGTGTCAAGGTCAGACTTGGATGTGGGCTTCAGTGTCAAGGTCAGACTTGGATGTGGGCTTCAGTGTCAAGGCAGTCTTGGATATTGGTATTTGTGTGAAGACACTAATGTTATAATGTTTACCCTTTCGTTAGGGGTATCATGTGACAGTGTAAACTGGTGAAAATATACACCGATGTTCTGTTGTAATACTATTATCTGTGTCCTTTTACAGTGACTATGTTGTTGGACACGGACCCGAATGCTCTGACTCAAGCCCTTGTTTCAAAGAAAATACATGTCCCAGGACAAGGTAATGTATTTGTGCGGTTGGTAATTTGATCATGAGGTTTCGGCATTAACACTCTGCCCCTACCTAAAGGCCTAAAAATTACAAAAACAAACAATTTATTTTTTAAGATGAGCCGTAAATGGTCCTAACTGATGGCCCATGGAAATCCGAGTTATTCTTTATCTTCAGCAACCCATGCTTGTCGTAATAGGCGACTAATGGGGTCAGGTGGGTAGGCTTGTTGACTTGGTTGATGGATGTCATCATAATCTAATTGCGTAGATCGGTGCCCATCATGTCAGCCTCTAGACTATCTGATCCACACTAGATTAGTTACAGAAGGACGTCTCATAGCTGGAATATTGCTATGAGATTCGCTAAACAACAAACAATTATGTCTGTGTCTTTGCCAGGGGACATTCAAACAGTGAGAAGGAAGAGGGACTCAGAAGGGGTGCGAGACGCCCTTGCCAAAGCCCTGTATGAACGTCTTTTCGGTTGGATCATACGAAAGGTCAACGAGTCGCTTCATCCCTGCTACGACACGTCAGTATTGCAACTCATCTTTTGTATAGACATAGGCTGGAGCTAGTCTCTAGACAGTTTTAAACAGACGCTTTTCTCTAAGATCAATACCGTTCAATGTGGCGCTAAACCCAACTTACTCACTCACTCACGTTTTGTGTACGTCTTGTAGAGCCGAGAACGCAGGTAGTATTGGAATGGTGGACATCTGCGGGTTTGAGTGTCTGAGGGAGAACAGTTTTGAACAGATGTGTATCAACCTCGTCAATGAGAAGATGCAGTGCTTCATGAATGAACAGATCTTCAGGGCAGAGCAGGAGATCTATGAGAAGGAGGGCGTGGCCGGAGACTGTGTGGACATACAGTATGAAAACAATGACCACATTGTTGCCCTCTTCATGGTAGGTGTTGCGGTACCGCATTTCTTCTACAAGACGGTTATCCGGTTATCCGTGGAGGTTCAATGCCAGATTACCACTGAAGATAATGGATAGAATGTGTTCTGATCAACCCATGCTTGTCGTAGAGGCGACTATCGGGAACTGATGGTTACTCGCTGTCTTTGTTCGTGCATGGCATCGTGTCCTAATCCTAGATGCTCATCGCGCCAATCAATGAATCGTCTGGTGATCCAGACTCGAATATTTACAGACCGACACCACCTAGCTGAAATCCGGGGTAGAACTATTGCCCAGCGGGTTGTAAACGTCAATGCTGGAACATATCCAAGGTACATTCAAAACAGGTTCCATTGAGTGTAAGAGGCGACCAACGGGATTAGATGGTCAGAATCAATGATAGTGTTGACCCTGTTGAGTTTGTGTCAATATACCCAGACCGTCTATAGTGATACTCAAAATGTCAATCACCGGATTATCTTGTACGCCTTTTATTGGCCGGCACAATACAGCAGAAACTATTGCTGAGAGCAGCGTTACACAACTAAGAAAACACACACACACACACACACACACACACACACACACACACTCACTCACTCACTCACTCACTCACTCACTCACTCACTCACTCACTCACTCACTCTCACTCACTCACTCACTCACTCACTCACTCACTCACTCACTCACTCACTCACTCACTCACTCACTCACTCACTCACTCACTCACTCTCACTCACTCACTCTCACTCTCTCACTCTCTCACACACACTCACACACACACACACACTCTCTCTCTCACACACACACACACACACACACACACACACACACACACACACACACACACACACACACACACACACAAACAACGATGACGATTTTCCAATTGATGATTTTTAGGTTTTAAGCAGTTGCCCTGTCATAAAATGTGCGTTCTCCTCCTAATCTATGTCCGTATTTCCTAGAAATAATATGTTTCGGCTTTTATATATTTTCTCGTTTCCAGTCGAAAGGCATACTTCACCAGATAGACGAGTACACCGTCAAACTGAAGCAAGGCACAGATTCATCGCTGGTGCACAGTCTCAAGGAGAGGTTTGGCAGCAACGAAGCCTTTAAAACACCACCTGGAGCTAACCTGACTTTTGGGATCAAACATTTTGCGAAAGAGGTATGCATTAGTTCAATGAACTATATGCCTTAGGAGCTGAAGTCTTTGTAACTTAAACTCACCAGAAACATGTTGTTGTTAATGTTAATCTGTTAGTTGTCAAAACATACTATGTATATATACCTCTCATCATCTGGTTGTATTCACTTTTAGCTTGATAACGATGTAAGAATCTACATCGAAAGGTCGCTGTATGCAATAAATAAGAAGTTGTCATCCATAAAGTTGTATGTTTCATTTTTGACTCACCAACTTCTAGAATGCCTATCAAACAATTAGAACGCACACGTTATAGCTGATCCCCATACGGAATTAGACGTACGTCTGAGATTACATATATTGTGGAAGAAACCGATGTCTCTATTTGTTACACGGAAGTAGATCTTTAACACGTTATGTTATTGACCAACATGAGTAAATCACGCAAGTCAAGGATTTCCAGAACCCGGTCCTACAAAGCGATCTTAGCGCTAAGACTATCATTAGTCTGTACTAAAGTCGGGAAGATTAAATAGCCTGAATGCGATCGTTTTGTAATCACACTACTTGTCAAATCCAAGTCTCCACAACCACAACTGGGGCAGTACCGAGTGGCGTTAGATCTGATCAGTAAGTAATGGGAGGTGTGCGACTAATACATTGTGCATACTTCAGAAAATATATTTACAAAATGATCGCAGTGTTATGTTCAATTTAGACTAGATTATAATGATTTCAATTTCGGTGGACGGGGAGAGGAGGATCATATATTTCATGCCTTCTGATAAGCATTATACCCCGTCATGTTAACTTTTTATTTAATCAGGTGAGCTATGACGCCAAAGGCTTCCTGGAGAAGAACAGAGACACCCTGAGTCCGGAAATGGTTAAATGCATGAAAGATAGCGACAATGAGATGGTGTCTGACCTCTTTACTGTGGAGAAGTGCGACACCGGAACTATTTCTGCGTAAGTCACATGCTACAATGCCCGTCCTCGACGCCATGTTAAATATCGTTTATTCATATAGGCTTTGGTTTCGAAAGGAATACAGTTTGCTTATATTTGCCACAATTTGCAACAGTCAATATTTTCCAGTGTCAGTGTCAGGCAATCGAAACAGGAATAGGTCAAACGATGGTTGATGTGATGAACATCGTTCCACGTCTCCATACAACAACACACACTTAATGAATTGGCAGGGTGCCGTTGTACAAGGCGATCTTAGCGCTGAGGTGATCGTAACTCCTTTAGCTTAACCTAAATTTACTATGTTCGTAACGTTAGGCTGCTTTGCATAACGGCAACCTGGTTTGTGTTCGGGTTGTTGTTAAACGCCGTATTCCTGCTACATAACGACAGCTTGTAAGTAATTGTACCCAAACAATCAGGTGATTGACATCATGAGCATCGAACCAGGATATCAACCACATCTGACCACTGATCTGCTTAGTCGCCTCCCACGACAAGCATAGGTTGCTGGAGACCAAGGCCCCTTTCCATTAAGCTATCTTAGCGCGAAAATGATCGTAACTCCTGTGCTTCAATATTGGCTTACGACCGTCGTAGCGCTGTGATCGTTTTGTGGGCCCTGGCGTCCGTTCCACAAAGTTATCGCAGCGCCAAACTTAACTGGGTATATTGACCAATTTAAGCCAAAAAATGAAGTAGAAATGAAGAAAAAGTGAAATGTGAATGAAAAGACTTGTTTGCTAAGTGACCTCAAATTTAAAATTTATTTCAGTTTTTGAATACTGCCCAAAAGCAACTGGACAGGTCTTTCACTAATTATTAAGTGGTCCAATGTGGCTGCTTCAAATGTTGATTAGATGGTAGTGGGCGTATTAATGCTATACGTAACGCTAAACTGTACGTGATGTCTCCTTTACTTCACTTGTCAAATACCGATCGTAAATCTTCCTTTTTGAGGGATGAAATTTGCCTGTCGTAACCGTACTATTTCATAAGTAATTATTATACAAAAGTTTTGTCTGTTGTTTAATGCCGCATCTATATGATGGCGGATTGACATCGTGGAACGGTCTACGCTTTGTGTGATTACTGGTGAGAACTTTGTCCACAAATGTCACTAGTTACGTCGTCCCACAACCCCGTTGGTCGTCGTTGACCACTGTGTTATGTCTTTGTGTTCAATGTGTGCAGGACCCACTACAATTATCGCAAGTCAACTCGTCGCAGTATGGCGCGGTCTGGTATGAGGCGGTCTGGAAGAACGCGCGGCGAGCAGCTCTCTCGAAGCGTCATCATGGACATCAGGAAGAGCCAAAAAGAATTCTTGGACAGGTCAGTAGGAGCTAACCGTGACACTTACACAGCATCTGTTTTTACTCGTCTTGGCCGTGACGGACACACTATCGTTAGAAAATGGCCTCTTACGAAACAGGGCCTTCACAAAGCAAATAATCGCCGAACGGGGATGCGAAGAAAATTGAATAGCAGCATATGTGTGTGTGTGCGTGCGTGCGTGCGTGTGTGTGTGTGTGTGTGTGCGTGCGTGTGTGTGTGTGTGTGTGTGCGTGCATGAAATTCATTCCTTGCTCCTGTCTTCATGGCCATATTTCTTTTAACACAAAATTACCCTGGCAAAGACTCCCTTTTACAAAGTAATGGTTGAATGAATAGGCGTATCAGTTTTCTCAACAGTTATCTGAACTTTCAACTACACATAAAATCGATATACATTCTTTTGTTTGTCAGTCTAGGTCTAACTACTAAACATATTCTTTGTCTTACAGGGGAACCAGATTGCCAAGAGGAGACGAAGTGGAACACGTTCAAACACAAACAGTCACTCAGTATTTCAAAGTAAGTCAACGACTGATTATATACTAGCCACATGAAGAAACTGTGCACTGTCAAAATAGTATCCCAGTTGGTAAGTACGATAACAATATCAAAGGTACATATCAACTTTAATGGAGGGATCATGAGACCATAACAAGTCGGGAGAATTTCAATTGAAAAGTCAATCACAATGACGTCACGAGTCCACAAGCGGGGCAGGTGTCAAACGACCATGTCACAAGCTCAATAACGGGTATGTCCACCATCGGCATTGAGAACAGCAGTGCATCGACGACGCATAGAGCCTATCAAACGTGCAAGGAAGGCTTGTGGGATGTCACGCCAGATTCTCTCAAGTTCTGTTGCAAGGTCAAGGACGTTATCTGGCGGATGAGGAAGACGGCGGAGACGTCGATCCATCTCGTCCCAAACATGCTCTATCGGGGAGAGATCCGGTGAATTTGCAGGCCAAGGCAGTAAGTCAACGTTATGGTGTTGCAAGAAACCCATAGCAACCCTTTGCGGTATGAGGGCGGGCATTGTCCTGTTGGAATGTTAACCCAGGGCCATGACGTTGCAGAAAAGGAGTCAATTGCCACAGGTCGAAGAATCTGATCCCTGTAGCCCACACCAGTTAAGTTGCCCTGAACAATCACCAAAGGCGTTCTTTGGCGTGCTGTTATTCCACCCCAAATCATCACGGAATCGCCACCAAAGCGATTCCTCTCCAAGACACAGGCCTGTGCATAACATTCTCCCACGCGTCTATAGGCACGTTGACGTCCATCACTATGGGAAATGTTAAACCTGGACTCATCTGTAAAAACAACATTTCTCCACCAAAACAAGGGTCTGCGGACATGATTTCGGCACCACATTCGGCGAGCTTGTCGATGACGTTGTATCAGGATAGGCTGTATGGCGGGACGTCGTGGTCTGATCCCGTGATGACGTAAACGTTGTCGAACTGTGTTGGGATGGATACGGTGAAGTCCTGGGATGGTTCGGGCAGTCATCACTGCAGTCTGAAACCTGTGGCGAAGAGGGGTCATCCTTATCCATCTGTCCTGTCCTGGCGTTGTTACACGTGGACGTCCAGGACGTGGCCGATCGATGACGTCATTTGTGTTCTGGTAGCGTCTCACCAGTGCAGAAATGGTGTTCCGGAGGCAGTGTAAATGTGCAGCCACTTGTCGTTGAGACATTCCCCCACGGACCACGGACCTCATGACGTTGTGCAGACGTGAACCTTGGCATGCTATGCGTTTCAATAGCCGTTTAATTTTTTGAACGATCGCAAGGGCAGGGGTTGAGCTTTCTCCAAAGTGACAGTATTGTGTCGCATTCATTTGCTCTGTTTCTCTTTCCCGGAATGCACGTGCAACAACGTATTGCACGTCTCAATGACGAACCCACTGACGTCACGGAACGTGGCACGTGCATGCATGTTGGATACATGTCACTAATCTCTGAGTTTAAATCCTTATGTGTCTCCACAGGTTTGATAAATTTAGATTTAAATTTTTGTATGCACAGTTTCTTTATGTGCCTAGTATATAATTTTATATTATGAGTGTTTCAAATTTAACTTACTAATTGTAGAATCAGTTAAAGTAGACACAGGTACATTTAGTTAATGTGGTTTGCCGGCAAATTTCAATTGGATATTCATATATACTCTCCCAAAAAAGAAACGCATATATGAATTTCAACTGTATTTTTATGTTTATTTTGAAACATCTTGTAGGCTTTATGAGTGAATGAAATATAGCGAAATTGCACACTGGGAATGCAGACTTATCCGTCTTTGGCACCAACTCGAGGAAAGTTAGTTTGAGTGTCACATGGAGACGTGTGGTGGCGCTGAAGTCAATACCTCGTGTGACTACCGTGGGCATCCAGAACTGCACGGCATCGCCTCGGCATCGAACGAATAAGTCTCAGAATCTCGTGTTGCCCAATCGCAGTCCACTCTGCCTGTAGTGCCTGTGCGAGTTGCTGAAGTTTCTGGGACTGAGGGTTACGGCGTCGCACCCGCCTGTCCAGGGTATCCCACAGATGTTCGATCGGGTTTAAGTCCGGTGATCTTGAGGGCCAGGGGAGCACATTGATGTTGTGGTTCTGGAGGAAGTCTCTAGTGTGACGTGCTGTGTGGGGCCTGGCATTGTCTTGTTGAAACAACTCCCTCTGGCGATCAATAATTGGAAGGAGGTGTGGACGTAGGAGTTCGTCACAGTACCGTTGAGCTGTCAGGTTGCGCTGGATCATCACCAAATCACTTCTCCTACGGCAGGTGATCGTTCCCCACATCATAACACTTCCCCGGCCGAATCTGTCCACCTGGGGAACGCAAGCGTCGGCGAAACGTTCACGTCGACGTCTGTACACCCGCATTCTTCCATCGCGTCGTTCCAATAGAAATCATGATTCATCACTGAACCAGATTCTACGCCAATTCGGTAGGTTCCAGGCCTGAACGTTGGTGCACCATTGAACTCGATGTCGACGATGTCGAAGCACAGGGCCAAAATAAGGTCTTCTGGCACGTAAATCAGCCTCTCTCAACCTGTTCCTGACGGTCTGTGCAGAAAGCCTCCTCATTCCGGGTATTTGTCGAGCGGTACTGGTCGCCGTAGCTGTTCGATGACGCAGGTGATGTACCCGGATGTAGCGATCCTGCGCCGCTGTGGTCGCTCGAGGTCGCCCACTACGAGGTGCATCTGCTACCGCGTTCTGCCGGCGATATCTCTTCCAGAGCCGTGAAATAGTGCTTTGGTGAACTTTCATGCGTCGGGCAACTGCACTTTGAGACTGGCCAGCTTCAAGCAAACCAATGGCGATATGACGGTTGGCTTCACTTAGACGTGGCATTTTGCGTTCGTCAACAATATTCCAAATACAGTGAATAATCGACAGACAGCGATCAACCTTTTACACCCATCATTGAGACTATCTGATCCCCAACTTTCACGTGCATTGCATGTGAATTGTGTATTCTGTGACACTACACGCCGGAATTGAAAATCATACTGTTAAATACGGGTATTTTACGGATGGTGCGTTTTGTTGTGATGTTTCAAAACATAAACACCATAGGACTCATAAACAGAGCAAAACCTTTTGTAAAATGAATCACGTTTTAATTCATTGCTACATGAAATTGCTAATTTCATGATGCGTTTCTTTTTTGGGAGAGTATATATAGTTGAATGTCATTTATTTCATTGTACATTTCTTTTGGCCTAGTGGTTAAAGCGTTCGCTTGTCACGCCTCAAATCCAGGTTCAGTGTGTGTACAAATGTGTGAAGCCATTCTGTTTTCCCCTCAGCATTGATATTGCAGTTGAACGTTGTCATTAACATTACATAATTCTCTGACCACATTTATGTCTTAAACGTCTTTGTATTCATTATAGAATTCGTTGGATGATCTTGTGGATAAGTTGAAAAATTCCGGATCAAGTTTTGTCAGGTAATATATGTATTTTCACTTTTATCCAAAATAGTCATTACTCCGAATTTCAAATGAAATTGTCATACGAACAGATGTTTATGTAAATTGCGATAATATTGTTCCAACTATAATACTAAGGTTTATAAAGTGACATTATGAAACCCTACTAGCCTCGGGGACGCTAGGGTAGCCTCGTTGTTGGCTGGCTCTTCACGCTGAAAGCCCAGTTTGATTCTCTACGTGGGTATGCGTGAAGCCTAATATTGCTAATAGCAGCGTACAACTCACTCACTCCACTGCCCGTCTTATCTTGTGACGGCACACTGAGTCTCTCGTGTAAAGTTTACGTCACATTTTGTAGGGAGACACGGGTGGCTGCCTTTTTCCAGTTGCGCCAGAAACCTAGGATCCCGAATCCCGGTCCGCCCCGATTACGTTGCCATGGAATGTAAACACCATACCCATACCCTTCAGACCTCCATCACTACAGGCTTTTCTCCGAAATGAAAATGACCCCGATACGACTGGAATACTGTTCTAAGTGGCATAAACCAAAACCACTCACTCATATATTTTTTTAACCCAGATGCATCAAGCCGAACACACGGCTTGTCTCAGATAAATTTCAAGAAGCCGAAGTGGTAGCACAGCTGAAATACAACGGAATAGCCGAGGTGGCCCGTATTAGGAAACAAGGATGGTCTGTTAGAAAGACATACAAGGATCTTCTGAAAAGGTTTGACTTGAATCCTTTGGCATGATTGACATCATGATCATCGCTCTACTCAATTTGGAAACGTTGACATGCTCAAGCAAGCCAGCGAGCTTGACCACCCAATCCCGTTAGTGGTCTCCTATGACAAGCACGGGGTGCTTATTGTTATTTAAGTAACAGTTATTTTATACAATTACCTGCTGGTAGGTTTACAAATCAATACAAATTACGATAAGTAACTACACCACACAATAGAGCGTTAGAGCGACATTCAATGAGAGTGTTATTATATTGAATGTATACTACATAACAGCAAAGGTAATATCATTTACGTAAGTGAAAATTTGTTCACCTAGAGGCAACTGTGGTCAAGCATCCAAAATAGCCCTTAGATGGACGTCGTAGGTGAGAATTGGACACCATGGCTGTTCTGCCCCATCTCTGTTCCATCTCTGATATCCATGCCGTATTCGTGTATGACATGGCACATAGTATCATTAATTAAAATTCATTTGATGTTTTCAGATTTCAGATCTTGTTAACCTCTACAGATGGAACTGACGTTGCCAAGTGTGAAGAACTCCTTAAATTATCGGGTGTACAGGCAGACCAATTCACTTTGGGCAAGAAACTGGTAAGGCGACGTATGTGAAGTACGTATGTGAAGTACTGAAGCATTACTTATTCCTGGTCAGTCTGTAGCATTTTTCCGGATTTAGTATAATGGCAAATGTGTTACATATCATGACACGAAAAAATCCCCGTCCCCATCATTACCCCATTCTACCCCACCCCACCCTTCATCCCGCACCCCTCCCATCACACCCCTACCTGCACCATTAACCACTGCTTATCAGTCGATCAACCGGGAACAGCTACATAACGGTTTACTAATTCAAAGGTATTCATGACGGACTCGGCTCTGGAGAAATTGGAAACAGAATTAAGACGGAAAGAAGAGGAACTAGAAAGAGAGAAACGGGAACGAGAGAGACAAGAACGCGAAAGGAGAGAACGAGAGGAACAAGAACGCCAGCGCAGAAAACAGGAGGAGACCGCTCAAATGGAAAAGGAAAAAAATCTTCCACAGATGGTATGTAAATGATGATTAGTTACACATGGTTGCCCATTGTTACCCGTGTTTGAAAGTACTCTTCTCAACCTTGGTACCTTAGCTGCCGCTCTGTGAATACTGTCGCACAGTGGAATCTGTCAAATCCGGACTCTTTGTAAACCGGTTTACTCCATAATCCGGACTACTCTCTAAGTCCCGGGAAAATTGTTCTTAATTTATCATTATAGCTTGCTTTATAATCAGGATTCTCTCAGTTACGGAATACGGACTAAAATGTGCATAATACAGACTTCATTATTGTGTAAATATAATATTATTATTTATTCAATTTCGTTAAAGATCCCTTAAATTAAAAAATTTTACTTTTGTTTTTATCCAAAACGTTTGCATATTTAATTACTTAAAAATGTTCAATGATATTGTGATGCATTCGGTATACCACTGTCTTGGTTGAATGTGGTTGCTTGTTAATGTGTAGAACACAGCGTACATCCCATTGTCAGATATCAATAGTTCGGTTGTTGATGTGTAGAAAACAGAGCTTAGCCTGTTGTCAGATATCATGAATCTGGTTGTTTGTTGGTGTGTAGAACACATTGTCAGATATCATGAATCTGGATGTTTGTTGATGTGTAGAACACAGCGTACATCCCGTTGTCAGATATCATGAATCTGGCTGTTTGTTGATGTGTAGAACACAGCGTACATCCCGTTGTCAGATATCATGAATCTGGATGTTTGTTCATGTGTAGAACACAGCGTACAGTCCGTTGTCAGATATCATGAATTTGGTTGTTTGTTAATGTGTAGAACACAGCGTACAGTCCGTTGTCAGATATCATGGAGGAGGGAGATCTGTCTTCATCCGGAAGGTCCTCAATACCTGGTACATCGACAGGCTCCACTTCATCAACGCTCATTTATGATCGAGTTACACCTCCACCTTCAGCAAACCTTCCAGCACAAGCTCCAGCTCCAGCAAATGGTGCAGCAAATGCTCCACAAAGCTCCCCATCACCACCACCGCCTTCCGAAGAGTCCGCTTCGCACTCGCAGTCACCACCAACCGATGACCGGGCCTAGTAAGTTCTTCAATAGTCTTAACACTAACGTTAGTAAATTGTTTTCATGTTTTCTTTCATTTGATCTTTTTGTTATGAAATGCTAATTTAGTTTGTCATTTATCATCATCTAACAACGTGCCTTGACATTCTGTTTCCCCTGACGCATCTTAAAAGACGTTAAAAGATGGTATTTGTTGTCACCCTCCTTGATGATCGGCACTAATGAGGTAGGGGCGGGGCCATGAATCAAACTGTCAGCTCGGGTTACCGCGTCTGAGTTGGTTATTTATTTTAAACTGCAACACGGTATCCACGGTATTGGTCTCGAGTTGTACCAGACACACGCATGTGCACACGCACATGCATACCCATACAGCGAGTTGTATTCAATGCGGTTCAGTTGGTACATTCTTTGATGATGATGATGATGATTATGATGATTATGATTTATGTGCCTCCTGCCCCGACGACATAGCGTCACATAGGCGGATCCAGATCCCCCCTTTTGTCCTGAAAGTGTATTAACTGACCATTGAAACCTTCTTAAAAATGAAGTGTGCACCCCCTTTTTCAATATTGTGCACCCCTCCCTTCGCAAAAAGCTCTATCCGCCCCTGCGTCAGTGGTGTATTAGCATTGTCCAGAGTTGTTCGTTGTTTGACACAGCAGTCAGCAATATTCCTGCTATATGACGCCTGGGTGACAACAATCAGATCTGCACCAGAGAATCCAGTGATCGATATGGTAAACAACAGACACAAACACAAAGTCCCTGAGCCAGACCACCGATTCCCCTCCAAGACCTTTCCTGCTTATATAACGACATTCACCCACTAACTGTTAGTGAGTGAGTATGGTTTTACGCCTTAATATTCCAGCAATATCTAACTGTTAACATATGTGTTGCAGTTTCTGGGACATATTCCGAGTGGTCGACACCGAGGTGATTCGGAAAGAATCTTTCGACCAGATGACCTTCAAGGTTTTGAAAGTGCTTGTTTACATCATCCTCTTCCTGGTCATCCTTTGCGCATGCGTGGCACAGAGGCTTGGACTCATGATCATAATTTCAAATATTTCCACCAACAGCTCCATACCACTGGTGAGACTTTTATTTTACTGTCATACCTTTCTTTCGCTTATGTTCAAGGAAACGTTCAAGCCAAACGTTAAAATAGAACTACAAATGTTCAAACCAATTGAATATTGTTCTTTCTTGTTGTTTTAGTGCGCATCCCGGTTAGAACTGATCTTCAGCAACCCATGCTTGTCGTACAACTTGTCCCTGACTTGGTTTACACATGTAGTTCGATGCTCTTGCTGTTGATTACTGGATTGTCTGTTCCAGACTCGATTATTTACAGACCGCTGTCATATAGCTGGAATATTGCTGATTGCGGCGTTAAACAACAACCAGCCATTGTAAAATATTATTTTCTGCATCTCTCGATTGAATACAAATAATAAAATATCCATATTAATCTCTTGAATCACGTTTCCAAATATGTAACATTTGAACACCGCCATATGGCTGAAATATTGATAAGCGCGAGTTATGCAACAAGAAAACATGCAAAATATTTACAATTTGTTTCCCAATGTCTTGCACGTCCATGAGCAATATCTATGACTCAGGGGGGCACAGAACTGAACTTGTAAACGCATTGCTGAGTGTGGCGTGCGTTGAACGGCAAACAACAAACTTTAGTTAATATGTCATGCCACGGCAAATTAACTTCAGCAATATGACAGAATCGATGCTCTTAACGTTTTAACTAATGCATATACTGAAATACGCCTGCAGTATTAGCATGTTTGCATATGATGTTTACATTCTGTAACTGTACCCATCAATCCAGATCATACCAATTTCAGGCGTCCACAGGGAAAGACAACTATCACATGCACCTAATCCATTACGTCTACCTGATCATAGCGATGTGCATACCCTATGCCTTGAGCACCCTTACCTCCTTCTTGAAATGGCTTTTTGGAGTGTTCCCGACACCCGGTGTCCTCACGTGGATTGTGGTAAGAAATGTTCAGACATATTCGTTACATCTTGGGATAGTTCGTTTAAATGGAACCTCCTCGTCAACTCATTGGCCTGGTGGTTAAAGCGTTGGCTCGTCACGCCGAAGACCCGGGTTGGAATGGGTACAATGTGTGAAGCCCATTTCTGGTGTCCCCCGCCGTGATATTGCTGGAATAGTGCTAAAAGCGGCGTAAAACCATACTTACTCACTCGTCCACTCATTGACTGAATACCTTTCAAAGAACCACCCGATTCTCTCCATTAAGGTGAGTGAGTGAGTTTGGTTTTACGCCGCTTTCAGACGCAATATTCCAGCAATATCATGGCGGTGGACACCAGAAATGGGCTTCACACTGTGTGCCCATGTGGGGAATCGAACCCGGGTTTTCGGCGTTACGAGCGACTGGGCTACTCCACCGCCCCTCCATTAATGTGAAGTGATTCTGTCAAGGCATGGTAAATTACCATACTGTGAGTTTGGGTATTGAACTTGGTGTTCTTTAACGTGTTTGAGCAGTTATGTTTTGCCACATAATTTTAAGTGTCCATTAACGGTGGCAAAAATGAAGCAAACAAGTAATAGTTAACCGATGGCGTGTTTTGGGCTTCAGGTAAGCAGTGTTTAGACGACTGTTTTGCAATGCTTTGATAAAGTTTGGTGTTCTTTAACTTGTTGGGGGAGGTATTTTTTGCCACATACCTTTTTAGTAAAGCTTTGATAACGTTTGGTGTTTTTTAACTTGTTTGAGCAGGTATTTTTTGCCACATACCTTTTTAGTAAAGCTTTGATAACGTTTGGTGTTCTTTAACTTGTTTGAGCAGGTATTTTTTGCCACATACCTTTTTAGTAATGCTTTGATAACGTTTGCATTTTGTGTCAAATCGAGTATGTACTTACTTCTGTCAAGCAGATTACTTGTATTCAAACGCCAAGTAAATCTATAAAACATGTGCTTCTTTTCAAGGTGTTGCTGGTGGAGGCCCTTCATTCTGTGGGACTATGTGCCTTGGTCTTCTGGGTCCTTCCCAAGTATGACATCATATCCGGGTCACTGCTGCTCAGTGCCACCAACGTCATCCCTTCTCTCCTTCTAATCACCTGCTCGTCACAGACAATCCACGGGGAATCCAAAAACCAAGGTGTCCTGAAAGCCTTCCTGGATGGAATTGCACTCGTTTGCCAGTTGTCAGTCATCCCATTGATGCTCTTGTTCAAGTTCAGCCAACGGAAGGAAGTGGATATGACCAAGATAGATGTCTCGGGTGATATTCTTGACTTTCCCGCAGTTATTTGTGGCTTCCTGCTGACTTCGCTAAAAAACTGGGAAAACTTTGTTGATGGACGAGTTCATACTCTGAAAGGCAGCCCCGACGAGAGCCATTTCAACAACTATGTCTTGAACAAAATGCTGCAGATCCGCTTTCAACTAAGTGAAGGAAGATACGCTGTGTCCATGATAGTTGGAATCATAAAGATTGCCATCACATGTTCTTTTGCATACGCAGTAGCGTATTATCGTATCGACAGAGGGTTTCTGCTCACTAACAGCGACGCCATTGAAACCTTCAAACTCTTTAACACTTTGTACTCGAATCCAAAGAAATTTTCAAGCCTCTTAGCAATTACAATCAGCGGATTTGTTCTGTACAATGGCAGTTTCTTGGCATGCAAGCTGCAGATGCAAAAATATCGCTGGCGATTCCCGTTACCCTTTCCATCTTCGTGATTCAGGGGATTTTAGCAGGACATTGCGAGAAGCAGTATCTCTTCAGCGACTTTACACACTATCCAAGTATACCCGGACACCCGGAACCCTGCAAATCAGCACAAGATAATGTATACATTTACTGCCTCGGCATAGCCTGGATCTTGTCCCTACTGTGGATAACGAGACACGTCTGGTTCCCCAAACAGGGACGTCTTGAGGAGTACGACAGGTGCTCTACATTTATCATTGTATTCCTTTATAGATGTTGGATAGTCACATCCTCCTTAGCCTCTCTGGAAGCTTAATGAATAACATGCTCGCATATCACCCCGAAAGTCTGGGTTCGATTCCCCCATGCGTGCAATATAAAGGTAACCCTTATCAACGCACCCCTGTGTAAATCCTCGTACAGCCGTAAGATATATTTCCACCTGGGGCAACGTTCTAGAACTAAAAGTATTGGTCAGGATGGTTTGTGGTGGTGGGGGGAAGGGGATACACGATATAGGCGTCACACATTATACTCATGATGTGAATTTGCGTGACTATCAATCTCATTAACCTCTGGGATACCACAACGCCTCCTGGTGCCAAGGTTGAAGGTTTTATTCCCATATGGTACTCTTATACAGTCCGTTCCAGGTGCCACTTGGGTATTGAACAAAATATGGCTGAATCAGCTAAAAAGTCCACAAACATTTAATTATTACTCACTCACAATACATCCAATGCTTATGAAGTAAAGTATGATTGATTCATTTAAAACATAATACAAAAAAAGAAAGAAATATACATACCTATATATCGATGTTATATAAGTTGTATGGCGATTTCTGATAATTTTGAACCATTTTTCCAGATTGTTCATCAACCCGTTTTACTGTGGGATATTGCCATTCGAGAACATTTTCCTCAACCGACGTCGCCACAATGAGGACATTTATGAGTACCCGTGTGATGAGGAGAGACTGCACTATTTTATAGCTAAACCAATGGTCGCACAGGCGCCATTAGCTTCAGATGAACCACAGGATGTCCCTTCTGTTTTTGCATGTGCTACAATGTGGCACGAGACCCCGATTGAAATGACGCAACTCCTGAAGTCGATATTCAGGTGAGTGAAGGAGTTAAGATTTATAGTCACATTGGCAATATTTCAGCCATATTGTCATTGAAAAGTTATGAATTAACAATAAAAGCAATTAAATTTTTTTTTAAATTGTCGACAAAGGACAGTAAAATAACTAGATGATCAAAGTTAGAGAATTAAAACTAGCAAGTAACTTTTAAAATTAGACAAATAGTACAGACAAAATAAAATAAAAAAACGCCATACTTAGGGACCATAGGAACTGACAGTACCTTTGCTATCTGAATGGACCCTAGACCAATATTCAGGTAATATTCGGTAGTTAGTTTATGGTTCCACATATGAACCATCATAAAGATAAGATCTTTTAACTTGTGACTTGATTGATCTGATTTATGTTTTACCAAGGCCGAAATATGTATGTCCCCTGTAATATATCAGGAATATTGCTGAATGCTGCGGCAAAACATTCATCTACTTTCTAACGTGATGTTAGACTCCTTGTTTAGTCGTTGTTAAAGATGATCTTTGGGAATAGTGTTATACATGGTGAACGCTGTCGGTTCCTTCAAAGTCACACGCAAACCTATAAATATATATCTCCAACGACATTGTGTTATTGTTCAAGTAAATGACGTTTACAAAATACGAAACAAATGTCAATTGTTTCAGATTGGACAAAGCGCAGGCCGAAAGGGAGCAGTTCGCATATTTGCATCCCAAAAAATCTGTTGAAGACAGATTCAACTTTCAAGGTTCGTTCCGTCAAGTTTCATCTTTTTTTTTTTTAAATAATTGTTCCATTGGCCGGGGTTATATCAACGCTTTGTATTTACAACTCGTGTTTGGAAAGCGCAATGTAAGCACACATGTTAATAGCATCATATACTTTTGATCTACGATGTAGACTGCTTTTTTTCTAGCAAACAAGATGTTATTCCAGTGGTCATCAAGATGTCTCTTCAGCTGCTCTTGCGTTGTTTCTTAATATTACATTTTCACTTGAAAGTCATATCGATTACAGTTACGTTAAATTTATAATTTAATTATAAATCATCTTTTGTTCATGGACCTTTTGAAAGCTACTAGGTGAAATGCTCTGTTGTATGCTCTGGCATCCGCCTCCGTTCCCAGTGAGTCAAAAACCTGGTAAAAGAATACTGGAACCATAAGATCTTCAGTCAGTAACGATTACGTCATGACGATGAATTTAAAACTATTAATGAAATTATCCTGAAGGTCTTGGACAAGTCCCTATTTCAGAATTCAGTATGAAAAACCATCAGAGATGGGCATTCCATTGCGGTTTGTACCATTAATGATATCGATTCAGGATATACAGTAATACGTTTGTTTTACTTCAGCCCACATATTCTTTGATGACGCTCTGGAACTGAACGAGGATGAGAAATGGCAAGTGAACCAGTTCGTGAGGACTTTGGTGAACGCCATGGACGATGCATGCTGGTGAGTGACCAGGGCAGTCAGTGTTAATGCAAGTGTGTCTGTAAATGACTTTAAAACTTTAAAACTAAACTCACTCACTCACTTATAACTCTGAGAGCAATGGACACATTTTTGTGTTGATGTTATTTTGTAAACGATAACTAGTCACTCACCTTCGCGATTCGTGAGTTTTTAAATCACTAAATATGTACTTTGTATTTCTATTTCACATATTTCAAAACGTTTTTATTCGATATATCTCCTTAACGAGGCGATGGGGTAGCCTAGTGGTTAAAGCTCGTCATGCCAAAGACTCGGGTTCGATACCCACATGGGTAAAACGTGCAAAGTCCATTTCTTGTGTCCTCCGCCGTGATATTGCTGGAATATCGCTAAAAGTGACGTAAAACTAAACTCACTCACACGTCAAAATTAACATCTCATTTTTTTATCGTTTCAAGAAATTCAGTTAATGCTCTGTTGTCATTGTCATTGTCTCTGGCCCATCGATCAGCAGATTGTCTCGTCGGTTTAATGTATATACCGCCTTTGCAACTGTGTTACTGTGAGACGGCATGTAATATTTTTTTACTCTCTTTTGTAAACAAAACGGACCTAACAGCGGGTATACCGATAAGTTGTTTGGTTGGTTTGTAGTTTAACGCTTCTGGGACAGACAATCCGGTTATAACAGCATCAGCATTAATCTACGCATCTCTGATACGATGACATGTGTCAACCAAGTCAGCGAGCCTGACCATCCGATCCCAGCCTGACCATTACGACAAGCAGGGTTATTGAAGACCAATTCTAATCCTGATCGTTACTGATCGATTGTATCGATATGACTTTACATACTCAAGCTTTTCACCTGCTGATATCTGTTGTTCATGCTGATATCTGTTGTTCATGCTGACATCTGTTGTTCATGCTGAGTTTTAGTTGTCCATCATACAATGTTCATAGCTATTTTGTCCTTTTCGCCTATTGGAATCTGTCTGAAGACTGCTTATTCTCTATATAACTGATAATCCTGATAACTGGTAGTCTAGACTACGGACTTTATGTACCCCTCTGACAAAAATACATTGGCACGGCACCCTCGGCCGAAAGCTATGAATACACCATGCCATTTAGATTGTGGTCTAAAATAACGCATGTTATATTTGGGATTACACTTCCTAAGCATTGCAGTTTCTGGGAGTTTTTTGGAAGTTGTGTCCCATCTAGGATTCGAACCCACGCCCTCAGAGTCAGCCGTCTTATCCGCTCAGCTACCGCAGCTTTACTGAGAAAGCGTAATCCCAAATTGTGTATTTACAGAGAATAGTTGTTTTATATCATCCTCTTTTCATCTTAATCCTCAGCGCTGTTCATCAGAAGTACATGAAGGTCCACGACCCCTACAAGGTAGTCACACCGTACGGGGCTCAGCTTCTCTGGGAGATGCCCGGAGGGAACCTGCTGTATGTGCATGTTAAGGATAAGAATAAGATCCGACACAGGAAGAGATGGTCACAGGTAACACTGCCACGCCAAGGTCAAAGTTTACTGCTTCATAGATTTAATAGCATTATATCCTGAGTCCCATTAATAATCTTAAGTGAGATCTGATTATAGTGAGATTCTAGTATTGATAGTATTGAATCCTGAGTCCATATTCATCTTAAGTGAGATTTAATAGAATTGAATCCTATTGAATCCTTCCATATTAATCTTAAGTGAGATTTAATAGATTGAATCCTGATTCCATATTAATCTTAAGTGAGATCTGATAGTACTGAATCCTGAGTCCATATTCATCTTAAGTGAGATGTAATAGTATTGAATCCTGAGTCCATATTCATCTTAAGTGAGATGTAACAGTATTGAATCCTGAGTCCATATTCATCTTAAGTGAGATTTAATAATATTGAATCCTGATTCCATATTAATCTTAAGTGAGATCTGATAGTACTGAATCCTGATCCCATATTAATCAATACAATCGGCAGTGAGACCTTTTTAAATTGTACCCGTTCGCCACGCCGAAGACCCGGGTTAGATTCCCCACGTTTTTACAAAGTGTGAAGCCCATATCTGGTGTTCCCTGAAGTGGTGTTGCTGGAATATTACTTAAAGCGGCGGTTGGTTGGTTTGTTGGTTGACGTTGCACTCAGCAATATTCTAGCTTTATGGCGACGGTTTGTAAATAATCCAGTCTGGACAAGTCAATCCAGTGTTCAACAGCATGACCAATTGGGATGCGATGACATGTGTCAACAAGTCAGCGAGCTTGACCACCAGATCCCGTTACGAGACGCATGGGTTCTTGAAGGCAAATTCTAACATGGGTCTTCACGGATAACAAAGTAATAGCAAGGTGCTTGGTTTGCAGGTGATGTACATGTATTACTTACTGGGCTATCAGCTACTGAAGGAGTCTGAAGGCGACATCCTCAAGAAGGCACGGGAAAGAGATGTAATGAACAAAGACGGTGTGGCAGAGCTCTTCAGCATCGATGTCCAGAAGAAGGTGGGAAGGAATTACAGTGAAACACCGATGTATCGAACTCTTATGTGTCGAACTTACGTTTGGTTCGAAGTAAAAGCTCGATCCCTGCTTATTCCTTATTTAGTCATCAGTTTTGGGATGCTTGCGTGAGACCTCCACGATGTTTCACTGTAAAAATTTGTTTGTTGGTCAAGCAGCAATATGACTATACTCTGTAAACGAACCGCCCGGAGAGCGGAAGATCGCCACGTCATACCAAAAGACGTTAACATATGGTACTTTTTGGTCCCTGCCTGGCGCTCGGCATTAATGGGTACAACAAGGACTGGTCGGCTACTAGAGTCAGTATAATGTAGGGTGTTCATGCTTGACTGCGGCATGGTTTCTCAGTGAGCTGGCACGATAAAACCAGCTTAAGTCTGGGCTAGTACAAGCAGCCACACATACACGCGCCTGCACATCGTCATATGAGCGAAATGATCTTAAATACGACGTTAAACCCCATTTCACCTCATCATATGTAAACGGATCTGAACCGGACATTCCAGTGACGTCATGAACATTGACTTACGTAATTTATGTATGATGTCATGCATCAATCAATGACGTAATCCTAACTGGTCCTGCTGCAACCATGTTGTGGCTGTACTGTTCAGTGATGTGATTAGGTATGTTACTAATGATTCGCCTTTCGCCTATAGTTTACCTGACATTTCGAAATCTGATTGTTCCTGCAGACCAAGAACACCTTCGTCCTGGCTCTTGACGGAGACACTGACTTCAGTCCGAGCTCGGTGAGGATTCTGCTGGACAAGATGAACAACGACAAGGTGGCAGCAGTGTGTGGCCGAATCCACCCGATAGGTTCAGGTAGGGTGTCTATATTAGGTTGAAATACGTGGCCGAATCCACCCGATAGGTTCAGGTAGGTTGTCTATATTAGGTTGAAATACGTGGCAGAATCCACCCGATAGGTTCAGGTAGGTTGTCTATATTAGGTTGAAATACATGACCGAATCCACCCGATAGTTTCAAGTATGAACTCAGTACTGTGTTGAAATACGTGACCGAGTCCACCCGATAGGTTCATGTAGGTTGTCTATATTAGGTTGAAATACGTGGCAGAATCCACCCGATAGGTTCATGTAGGTTGTCTATATTAGGTTGAAATACGTGGCAGAATCCACCCGATAGGTTCAGGTAGGCTGTCTTTATTAGGTTGAAATACGTGGCAGAATCCACCCGATAGTTTCAAGTATGAACTCAGTACTGTGTTGAAATACGTGGCCGAATCCAACCCTTTGATTCATGAAACGGCATCAGTACAAGGTTAAAATACGTGACCGAATCCAGCCGATGGGTTCAGGTAGGGCGTCTGTACCAGGTTGAAATACGTGACAGAATTCACCCGATGGGTTCAGGTAGGGCGTCTGTACTCAGTTGAAATGTTTCTGTGCCTGGTATTGTCCGTATTTTACAGTAATTCATAAACATGTTTATGATATAGTTTGAATCGTACGAAGTCAGTTTATATTTTGAGTTTATGTCATTCTTATTACCAATTAGCGTTTTCTATGCTGACATGACCCAAAACCAATATCTGAGTAGTTGTGTTTGTTAGTATTCATGGTGCATAAGGGAGCGGTAGGGTAGCCTAGTAGTTAAAGTATTCGCTTGTCATGCAAAAGACCCGGGTTCGATTCCCCAACAACATGCGAAGCCCATTTATGGTGTCCCCCGCCGTGATATCGCTGGAATATTGCTAAAAGCGCGTAAACCTCAACCCACTCACCCACTCATGGTGCATAAATCGAGTTCCTCCCAAATCAAATATGTTTTAAATAAAATGGCTAAAACTTCCTTTTCCTTTTTGAGAATATTGTGTGGGCGAATATTTTATGTAACTGTACGTGACATCCATGTCGTGTTGTATCTGTTTCCCAGGTCCACTTGTCTGGTATCAGATGTTTGAATACGCTGTTGGTCACTGGCTACAGAAATCTGCCGAGCATGTCCTAGGATGCGTCCTTTGCAGTCCTGGGTGCTTCTCCCTATTCAGAGCCTCTGCCCTGATGGACAACAATATCATGAGGAAGTACACAACGATGCCGACTGAACCGGGGCATTTCCTGCAGTACGATCAAGGTGATTGACCAGTGAAGGTCAGGGTTAGAATATTGTAAGTAGCCCGTAAGAGGCGATCGGGATCGGGTGGTCAGGCTCGCTGACTTAGTTGACACACGTCATCGTATCCAAATTGCGCAGATCGAGGCTCATGTTGTGGATTGTCTGGTCCAGACTCGATTATTTACAGACCGACGCCATATGGCTAGAATATTGCTGAGTGTGGCGTAAAACTAAACTAAACTAAACTAAACTAAACTACACTCACTCACTCACTCACTCACTCACTCACCACTCACCCACCCACCTCACTCACCACTCACCCACTACCCACCCATTTTTATGACCCACTGTCCAACACACCGCAGGATCAGAATATTTCATGTTCGTTTACTATTCCAGGTGAAGACCGATGGTTGTGCACGTTGCTGCTCCAGCAAGGGTACCGAGTTGACTATGCTGCTGCCGCTGACGCCTACACGTACGCCCCAGAAGGATTTAATGAGTTCTTCAACCAGAGAAGACGCTGGACTCCCTCCACACTGGCCAACATCATGGACCTGCTGGCATCGTCTAAAGTCACTGTCGCCCGCAACCCCAACATCAGCTTCTTATACATTATATACCAGATTGCAATGATGGCGGGAACCGTCTTAGGACCTGGCACTGTCATCATGATGATTGCCGGATCAATCCAATCCGTGTTCACTTTAGACCTGTTCATTTGCTACGGAATATCAATTTTGATTCCAAGCGTGTATATCATCATCTGTTTCACAACTCCAGCGAAGATACAGCTAATAGTAGCGGCTGTACTGAGTGCCGCATACTCCTTCATCATGATGGCTGTCATTGCTGGAACTGTGATTACAGCCTACACAGTGAGCCCTCTGCATCCAAGCGTTATCTTCTCAGTGTTGCTTTTCGCCATGTTTGCTTTAGGAGGAGTGCTGCATTGGAAGGAGCTGAACTGCCTCCCCCATTGTTTTATGTACTTTCTCTGCATACCGACTGGATATCTACTGCTTTTCATCTATTCAATGTGCAATCTCTTCAATGTCTCCTGGGGAACTCGCGAAGTACCGAAGAGAAAGACCAAGAAAGAAATGGCAGCCGAGGCAAAAGCCTTGAAAGCAAAAGAGGAAGAGGCTAAGAAGAAGGATGGCTATTTTGCCCGACTCTTCTTCAGTTCCACTTACATCAAAGAATTAAAACATCTTCTTGACGGAATAAAGCCAAAGTTGACCAGTTCGAACGATGCAATAGTAGAACAGTTGAAAGTTATAAATGAAACTATTGTTAGGCTCGCTGAGCAATCTGGTCGCAGCAACACTGATATGACGAAACCCGAAGCTGCCAGCACGGAAGGCACGTCCACTAGAGAGACATTAGACCCACTGTCATCAGATTCTGAAGAGGAAGATGAAGAAGAGGACGACGATGAACCAGAAGCTATTGATCCCTATTCTGGAAAACACTGGGTAGAAGACCAAGAACTGGGAAAAGGTCCTGTCATGCAGCTGTGCAAAGCTGAAGACGAATTCTGGGAAAAGTTCATTGCAAAATATCTGAAACCAATTGATAAGGATGAACAAAAGGAAAAACAAATAAAAGAGGGCTTAATTGATTTACGAAACAGCATTTGTTTTGCAATGATAATGGTAAATAGCTTATGGATTGCAATCAACTTCATGTTCCAGTGGAAAGAAGTCCTACGAGTTACTGTTCCCTATAAGGACGAAAAGGGCAATGATCAAGTACTTACATTTGGTGTCCTTGGCCTCTTGTTCATAGCATTCTTCACTATCCTGATACTTATCCAATTTTTGGGGATGTTGCTGCACCGCTTGGAAACTTTCTTCCATCTCATATCGATGACAAATCTTAGAACGGATAAATCGGATTCCACAAAGTTCAGTGCAGACACAGAACAGATCATGGAGACACTGAGAAATGAATTGGAACCAGTTCCTGATTATGACGCTGACGAAGAGGAGGATGAGCGACAGGAGAGAATTCGTTCCGTTGTACAACGAGGAGAAACAATGAGGGACCTTGCGAGGTCGAGAAGAGAAGGCCTTGCCAAATCTACAAAGAAGCCACTTTCCACAACACGAAACCTCAACAGAGATCGTGAATTGAATGCACCCCGTCCTCCACGACGGTACCAGCAGTTTGAAGGAGGGCTCAGGAACCGATTCTACACACCAGCAATAAAAAGCGTGTTGTCACAGATAGAAGTTCCACGTGAAGGGGGGATACGATGGGACAGTGGGGATGATCCCATCTATTCTGAAATACGTGACGTCATGCCAGGAGTCATGGGAAGGGAGTTTGCAAGAAGTGTCAAACGGTTAAAAGGACGGGAAAGAGATGTGAGACTTGGCAATGGAATGAGGATGAATGATGCAGCATTTATACCAATGCCAGACCCGAATGAAGTGCAAACAACACAGTTCTGAAATGGCGTCGTATGCAAATATGCACTTTAATAGACACAATGGGCACATGAGTATTGCATTGTGCCGCTCTTAGCTACATGCCAGCAATATCGCGTAAAGGGACACCAGAAATGGACTTCACCTTGTACCCTTCGGCTTGATGAGTGAACGCTTAAACTTCTAGGACACACACACACACACACACACACACACACACACACACACACACACACACACACACACACACACACACACACACACACACACACACACACACACACACACACACACACACACACACACACTCACACACACACACACTCACAGACTGGCGAGTTAACACTACATGTATCGTTTTGCAGCAGCCTTTGTTACATGGGATAGTGTTAGGTTCCCTTGATTGAACAATTTTTCCGCTGGTCGATTCCACACAAACCTCTCCGCCCGTCCATCAGATTGTTCTTGTAAACGCCTGTGCACTGGGTAATTATATTGTAACCAGGCACTCCGTGATATCATTGAAAAGCGGCTCGACCCAACTTAGTCGCTCTTCCTAAGAATCTGACGCTTATGGCGTTTTCTCAAGATATTTTAGGAAATACTTTTTTATCACATTTCAACTATGTTGGTGGCAAGAACAATGCTTCGATCTTAGGTCAAGCATTTATTGATCCTTTGTTGAACACATATACCTGTTAAAATCATACGGGTATCATCAATTTTGGGGAATGTGGGGTAGTCTTGTGGACGAACATCGTGTGGTTCTATTGCCATTATTGGTTCAAATGTGTGAAGCCCATTGGTGTCTCCAGTCGTCATATGTTTGCTTAAGTGACTAAATACCATGGTTTAATCTAACTCACTGACTTGTTCCAAGAATGTGCCCGAGCAACACCTGTTCAGAGCTATACGATACACACAGTACACAGATATCTTTCTGCAATGGAACGTCTCACCGTCAGACTTTACAAAGCACAGGAACTAATGCATCAGTGTTATCCATAAGTGACAAATGTAAAAGTATCATTAGCCATGCCAAACAGGTTTCACAGGAGACAAACATCGAGTGACTGGATGTTCTAGACAAATACACTGAGGTATTTAAAATACACCTTTGTATGATGACATACCAGAGGATATTTGTTGAAATAATGATTTCCTTAATTACCCAGAGACAATGTCTGTTTCTTAGACGGTACTAATTACTGCCTTGGCCTGCACTTGGACACACAGATTTTACTACACGCGTTTAACGAGCAGTTTTCGTTAAGAACCTTTAGTGCAGAGTAAGCCTATTGCAACTGTGATTGTTTTTTGTTTAATTGTTTTTTGGGGGGTTTTGGTTCGTTGTTTTTTTAGTTTGTTCTCTTTTTAATGTACATCCATAAAGAAATTAATACTATGTTTTCCAATTTTTAGTACTGTTTTGTTTTAAACATTATGACTTATGCCGAATGCGACCACCCATATTTTCACTGTGACATTTTGTGTGGAACTTTGTGTTTTTGTGTTCTGCGTCTAGATTCCGGAAAAGGATCTGATTAAGCTAGTTATTATTTTTGCTATTGTTGCAAGGCATGACTGTGCTCAAATGTATATGTATTACTTCTTGAAGGTTTGGTTATTTTTACAAAATGTATAACGATACTATATACTCTATGGAAAAAACAAACATTTGGTTTGTGACATATACTCTGACACGAGGTTCGTCTGGTACTTCATTACAGTTGCTCACTAGAAGTTATATGACATGCTTCACGTCCTACGTACCTATACTGCGTGCGTTCTACCTGTCCTATAGGTAATAGTGTACATACATATTTTGCATTGTGTTTATGGTCTGTAGATAACAGTTGAAATTGTATCTGATTTCGGTAACTGCAAATGTATTTTGACACACTGTGTATGACATAAAATCTGAAATGTATGTGCGTTGTTTCGTGTTTGAATTGTGGAAATGACGTGATGACTCGGCCTGACTGAAATCAAATTATATCAACTCGCTGTTGGCCAAGAAACTTTATTGCTCTCGATGTAACCTCGACGCGTTAATCTGTTATCGTACTGTCTGACAGGTTCTCACGGTTCTACAGTCTCGGGGCGGTAGGGACTCTTGTGGTTAAGGCGTTCACTCTTCACGCCGAAGACCGGGTTCGATTCCCCACATGGGTACAATGTGTGAAGCCCATTTCGGGTGTCCCCCCGCCGTGATATTGCTGGAATATTGCTAAAAGCGGCGTAAAACCAAACCCACTCACGCACTCATTCACTCTGCAGTCTCTGTCCACACGGCGATCCTAGCCCTTAGGTTATTGTACAGTACAACCAGACATTATTGAGAATTTAAAGATTGTAATTATTTATATTTTTTTCACTCATTACTCACGTATTAAATGTGAATATTAGCAGAACATAACTCCAGATTCAAAGACAGGTGAACAGTTAGGATTTTGTCAAGTCACCATGGGCAGCAATGCAGGCTTCAATGCGGCGGGGCATACTACTGATCAAAGAAGTTAGAAAGTCGTGGTCCATGCTGTCCCAATATCGGACCACCTCTTCTTTCATTTCAACAATATTTGTCAGATTTTTCATTTGACACTTTCCTTCCTAAGTCCCCAAACATTTTCTATTGGATTTGTCAGGACTATAGCTTGGCCAATCTAATAATGTCATATTTTGGGTCCGAAACCAGGCCAATGAATGCTTTGAATGATGTTTTGGGTCGGTGTCCTGCTGGAAAATCCAAACATTTCCATAGCACACGTGAGCAGATGGAAGAATGTCCCTCGAGAATATCTGTGTACCGCTCACTGTTCATATTCCCTTCAAATACACAGAGGGGCGTTGCCCCTAACACAGATATGCCACCCCAAACGTTAACTTTCGGACTGTACTTTGGGCGCTGATACAAAGGTTTTTCAGTTTGTTTGGTCCAGAAATTCAGTGTATTAGGAAACAGCCACATGCACACAGAACTTTCATCTGAGAAAATCACATTGTCCCAGTTGAAATTTCTATGCTGTAAGCACCAGTTCAACCTTCGCTCCTTTTGTTCAGGTTTCATGATCGGTGATGGAATTCCTCGACTTTTCTGCCAGCTCAGTTCTAATTGTCTCCTTACAGACAGCCACAGTTCCTCTATCAATCATATCCAGCCTTAAATTTTCTAAACTCAGTCGTTTGTTTTTAGAAACAAGAATACCAAGCCGCCTCCTGTCACCGACAGTCAATTTTCTGGGCCTACCTGCGCCTCCCTGGTGCTCAGTGCCATATCCATTTGCAATATTTTTCAAAACACGATAAACAGTGGACAAAGGGATGCCTGTTCTACTTGAAATCACATTAGCTGATCTGATGTCCTTGTTATAATACTCTAAAATCAACTTCCTCTTCTCTAAATCATCAATACTGAATATCACTGAAAATGTCGTCTGCTAGCAAGTAAACAAAGGGGGATAACTCTTCACAAACTAATGAAAAAGGATTAACGGAGTTGTCTCTCTTGAATGAAACCAAGCACTTGATAGCTGGTCACTTTGTTTAAACTAGAAATCCAATTAAACATATTCCTAAAATTCTCAATAATTTCTGGTCATACTATATAAATAACTGGAGAAAAGGACGTTTTTATAACCGTTGTTGTTGAATTAGTTTTTGCAAATAACTGGAGAACAGGATGTTTTTATTACTTATTATTTTTCGCATGACTTTTTTCCTCTGAATTATTTTTGAAGAACAAGGTGAAAATGATGTTCAAGTGACTTTGTCATGACTTGAATGAAACCAAGCACTTGATATCTGGTCAAGGTTGTTTATACTAGAAATCCAATTAAACATATTCCTAAAATTCTCAATAATTTCTGGTCATACTATAATTCTTGTGCTTTAACGTAGATTTTGGAGCGCCATAAACGCTTTGTAGAACCGGCCCTGAGATTATGAACCAACATTTAGTTTTCTTGAAGGCCGGTATATGCCAGACTGTTCTTCAGTTTACTTTGAACCCACCGATCACAGCATAATATTTGTTCTCGGACCACCGTTGTAGTTCTTTAGGGGGCGGTGGGGTAGCCTAGTGGTTAAAGCATTGGCTTGTCACGCCGAAGAACCGGGTTCGAATCCCCACAGGCTACAATGTGTGAAGCCCATTTCTGGTGTCCCCCGCCGTGATGTTGCTGGAATATTGCTAAAAGCGGCGTAAAACCTAAGTCAGTCAGTCAGTCAGTTGTAGTTCTTTAACACGCCAATTTTACTCTGGAGTGACAGTTCTATCCTAGGGTTTATATAAATCGTTTTTGCCACGTTCATTGAATTCAATAACAACGTGTATTCAATCAGTAGCTATCTGATGGCTAGAAAGGTGAACTGGGCTTTGAGGTTGCATTAAAAAAAATTCACTTTTAAACTAAGGAGAGAAAACGAACGAGCGTGTGGGTGTGTCTGGGTGCACTAGCCCGAACTAATGCCTATTTCACAAATTCACTTCGCTAAGATACCACACTTGTCCTTGTTTGAAGAGCGCCAGGCACGGTAACAACAAGTACTTGGTATGATGCTTCAAGAGGTTCGAAAGACGAATACCCCTATTCTGACGACCGCTCAATCAACTGAACTAATGAAAGGGGACAGGTTTCACCCCTTATTCTGATACTTGTGATCATGAATAATTTTCCCGTAGTGATGCTATGTCTTCATCGATATAAACCGGGCTCAGGTGGTCAGACTCGCTGTCTTGTTTGACACATGTCAATTGCGTAGGTTAGAATTGGTCCTCAGTAACACACGCTTGTCGATGTTCATCCTGTTGATCACTGGATGGTCTGGTCCAGACTCAATTATTTACAAACAGCTGGGATATTACTGAGTGGCATAAGTAGACTGTGGCTGAATACCCTCGTTGTTCGGGCCGAAAATCAACTGTGTATGTGCTCTTGTCTATTTTGCTTAAGACGAAAACCTGTTTCTTCATCAACCTATACGTTATAAATATCTAGCCATATAGTCGGGTTTTAACTGTATCTGAATAATTCGTACTTTTTACTGAATGATAAGGTATTCCCCGATAACCTAGTCAATCTCGAGGTATCTGCTTTTTTAAATTGAATTACTAATATTAGAGCGTCAACTATAATGGCAAACATTGTTCTCGAAACAACATTCTTTAGGGACTCCGCATATAATTCTTGCAGTCTTGCAGCTTTCCAAAGTTCAGCAGAAACAATCGTACAGCCCTGGAAAAGGAATGATCTAAGTCAGTACGATAGGGTGTATGAGGTTCAATGTTTACCAGGGTTTAACAACAAAGGATGGTTTACTGCATCCCGGGATGTCCCAACTACAGAGATTTACAGCATGACAGGGTGTCCCAGCCAACGGGATACCATGCTTGCCAGGTTGTCCCGGCTAACGAGATTTACTGCATGCCAGGTTACCCCAGCTAATGAGATTTCCTGCATGCCAGGATGTGGCAGCTAACGAGATTTACTGTATGACAGGATGCCCCAACAGCTGGGGGTTTACTGACAAGCTAGTAAAATACCTTCATATGAATCGTTCGCACCTTGTTCAGTCCTGGCTTTACAATAGGGTACATCGCCGTGGTTTTCTCTGAATAAGCAGTTTATATATCTCGGCCTCTTCCACCTTTAAGAGAAACATTTATATGAATCCCTTGTACCATTTTCATGTACATGTATGTGCTGTGTCGTTGGTGTGGTGAGAAGGGCTAGTTCCGCTTCTCATAGTGGTCGTTGTGCCACGACTGTCGCAACACTGCTACAGTTAACATAGACCACGAAAACGGAAAACTGTAATACAATTGTGACTAAAACATGGACTTACGGAGCTGCATTTAGTTTGGAACCAAGTCGCTCGTCACGCCGAAAACCTGGGTTCGATTCCGCACATGGGTAAACTGTGTGAATGTAATTGATAAGATCTGCGGAGTAAATGCTACGTAATAATTTATTTTATGAAAAGAATGAACATATTGAGTAAATGCTACGTAATAATTTATTTTATGTTCGCTCGTACATGGGTATACTGTGTGAGTGTAATTGATAAGATCTGCGGAGTAAATGCTACGTAATAATTTATTTTATGAAAAGAATGAACATATTGAGTAAATGCTACGTAATAATTTATTTTATGTTCGCTCGTACATGGGTATACTGTGTGAGTGTAATTGATAAGATCTGCGGAGTAAATGCTACGTAATAATTTATTTTATGAAAAGAATGAACATATTTCATAACAATGAAGAACACATACGTACGTACGTTCTTACGTATGTATGTATGTATGTATGTATGTATGTATGTATGTATGTATGTATGTATGTATGTATGTATGTATGTATGTATGTATGTATGTATGTATGTATGTATGTATGTATGTATGTATGTATGTATGTATGTGAGAGTTTAGTTTTACGCCGCACTCAGCAATATTCCAGCAGTCCAGTGATCAACAGCATGAGCATCGATCTGCGCAATTGGGAACCGATGACATGTGTCAACCAAGTGAGTTGTGAGTGAGATGGGTTTTACGCCGCTTTTAGCAATGTTCCAGCAATATCATGGCGAGGAACACCCGCAATGGGTTTCACACATTGTACCCATGTTTGGAATCGAACCGGGGTCTTCTGCGTGCTGAGCGAACGCTTTAACCACTAAGCTATCCCACCGTCCCCAATTGAATGTACGTAGATGTAAAAGTTTAAACATCGTAAACTAGACATTAAACCCCACTTTATCTCTCCTTACGCGTTTGTAACACCTGTGTATATTACCGTACCGCGGCACTAAAGCACTCTTCAACCCCTGTGTTGTTGGTGACGCTGGTTTCGTGGTATTTCAATCCTAGTTTATTCCCCATAGCAACGCCTTCATCATACGATATCGTCTCCTCACAAGTCTCTCTCAGATCTGAAAATATGTTCAATGAAAGAAAAATGTTCCTATAAATATTACAAGAACAGGGTCCAAGACAACACAGAAAGGAATTTATATGGGAAATTAATTATGAATAAACACATACATGCTTGCTCTAATATTCGTAGGGTCGATGCTCATGCTGTTGATAACTGGATTGTCTGGCCCAGATTCGATTGTTTTGAGACCGCCGCCATAAAGGTGGAATACTGCTGAGCACAGCGTTAAACAACAAACTAACAAACAAGTTCTAATTCAATCATCATCATCACCATCATCACAGAGTCCTGTGATGTATTGGCCCATTCTGAAGCTCAGTGTTCTCCATGGGTTATGGCGCGGTGGGGAAGCCTATCGGTTAAAACGTTCGCTCGTCACGCCGAAGACCCGGGTTCGATTCCCCATATAGGCACAACGCGTGAAGCCCATTTCTGGTGTCCCCCGTTGTGATATTGCTGGAATTTTGCTAAAAACGGCGTAAAACTAAACTTACTCACTCACTCCATGGCTTTTGATTACATTTAGTCAGGATAGATCTGACCAGGTGGGCCTTGTCAATACATCTGTTCAATGCATATAGACACAACGACACAATGTGAAGGTTATATTGTAGAGTCTATAGCCATGACAATGTTTGTTTGTTTGTGTAAGGCCTCAATCAACAATAATGAGTGAGTGAGTGAGGTTTTACGCCGCTTTTAGCAATATTCCAGCAATATCACGGCGGGGGACACCAGAAATGGGCTTCCCACAATGTACCCACGTGGGGAATCGAACCCGGGTCTTCGGCGTGACGAGCGAACGCTTTAACCACTAGGTCACCCCACCGCCCCCACTCAACAATATACCTGCGCGAATATTGTTGAGTGCGTCGAGTTATTGATATCATAAGCATCGATCTACGCAGTAGGGTTTCAATGACAAACATCAACCAAGTGAGCGAGCTTGACCATCCGATCCCGTTGTAGTCACCTCTCGCAAGCACTGTTTGCTGAAGACCAATTCCAAACCGGATCTTCACGGGTCAGTGCAATGACACTGTTATTCATCTTAATAAACCACTCGAGCAATATACACCATAGAGATTTGTAGAAATGGATCCCCAATTTAAAGGTTTTTATTATGATTGGTTCCAGAAAACAGTAAATATTTCCCCCCAAGGTTTTATAAAATAAATAAACTGATTTCGCTTGTCATGATAATATCTTGCAAAGCTGAGAGATAAAAACTAATACAATATTAGAGAACGAATTTACATATCTAAAAGCAGTGATTGAAAAAGTTATTTTGCCTTTATTGTAAAACTTAAAAATACGCCTTCCTGCCCCTTCATCACTCACTCATTAACGCACTTACGCTCACTCATTCACTCTCCCGGTCCCTTATAAATGTGTATCGCTTGATCCCCCGTCCCCATTGGAAATACAGCCTATCAAACACAGTCTGGGTATCACCTGTTTTACATGCAACAAGGAGTCGTGGTACCCGGGGGCAGTATAGCATCACTTCTCCATCATACTTGGTCTGAATCCGTTCCAGTGACTCCCTATTGTCCACCGAAAAACACAGCAACATCACCTCGGCAGTTGGGTAGGCTAGTGGTCGGAGGCGGTCATACTCGTCCTGTTGATAGATTGAAAAAGACACCATATGAAATTTAGTGGGTGCCTTGACGACAAGTCTGTCTCGCTTCAGTTGAGTGAGTGAGGTTTTACGCCGCTCTTATCATGTATATCTCGGCGCCTCGGCTTGATAAGGAAAGAAAACCCAACTTCATGTACACTACTGTGTAATCTGTCAAATCCGGATTCTTTGTAAACCAGTTTTCTTCATAATCCGGACTACTCTTTGAGTCCTGGCCAAATTGTTCTTATTTTATCACTAAAGCTTGCTTATAATCCGGTCTCTCTCAGATACCAACTACGGATTGAAATAACCCCGACAATCAACTTGCTATGAGAAGAATGCTTTCTAATCCGGACGTAGCTGACTAAAATAACTGTCCGTTGAATATAATGTATAAATGTTTCAATGCTGGTGAAAGTTTTGAACATGGATATGTACTGAGAAACCTGGAAACATATTAAGGGCGAACCGGGATTCGAACCTGCGATCATAGGTTCCGGGCAGTGCAAAGGGACGCAACTATGCCTAGTTCATTGTAGCTCTATGGAAATCTGTAACAACTTTAAACCTATGAAAGTATAAGCCTGATAATTCTAGAATTGTCACCCCAGATCCAGTGTCGTTCAGGTTGATGATGTAGTGTCGTCCATTCTTTGTCATTCTCTTATCCTCAATTCGTCCTATCTGGGGTAGATACCACGGCAGAGACCCCAGGATGTAGAACACTCCCAGGCTGGATTTACCCACAGCCTTGTCCCCAACCATCACCATCTTCACTCGAACCGGTCGAGGCTCCGTCATTATGTTACTTTAGCTGAGGACGAAATACAGTAATTGATGATAGCATTTGAACTTAAACTGATGTAGAGTTCTTTGGCTTTTTCCTTTTTTTGGGGGCTCTTGTGTTGTTATTTTGTTTTGTTTCTGTTTTATTTTCAATTATTTAGTTATTTATCTATTTATACATTAATTTATTTATTTTTTCTTATTTTCATTTGGTGGGGAGGGGGCGTATTGTTTAGCAATATAATTTTTTTTTTGTTAATTGCGACATTAAAAACGTATGATACCTAGAAATCTAGATGTTAATTATATAGCATGCATCGTGTAATAAATGCTTGCTCATGTATGAAGGCCCAGGTTCGATTCCCCACATGGGTACAATGTGGTGTGAAGCACATTTCTGGTGTCCCCCGCCTTGATATTGCTGGAATATAGCTAAAAAGGGCGTAAAACTACGGGATCGAGTGGTCAGGTTCACTGACTGGGTTGACACATGCCATCGTATCCGAGATGCGTAGATCGATGCTCATGCTGCTGATCTCTGGATTGTCTGGTCGAGATCCGATTATTTACAGACCGCCGCCATATACAGTGAGACCTCGGATACACGGACCCCAGATATCCGGAAACCTCGCCTTCCGGTCAATTTTTAGAAAAAAACATTCTCTTACGTTATAAAAGTGACTGTCTATAACGGATATTCGGTTTCCGTTTCCGGACGGTACATTTTACAAACAAACCGGCTAAATCAACACAAAATTGACTCACCTATCCGCACGAAGCTTTGATCTACCGCTAACCGTGTGAAGGGAAGTGCGAGAGTCCCACGTGTTTTGACACGAGACGTGGTGTCATATATATTATTGTGTCTACTCACGGATCGAAACGAAGTGTAGTTGACAGAAAATGCATAATATAGCTTCTCTAAATATCATATTTATTGTAGCAACAAACTGGCTTGCTTATTTTACCCCATTCAACAATCACGAACTGATTACCGCCTCGTTTTCCATTGACTGCTAGTTTACAGTAACATCGGTAAAAATGTGTGAATTTAAATGGCTTCCGTATTTTACCCCATTCCATGTGCGTACCACGTTCATGAGGGTCCGTATAACCTTAGTTTTTGAATGTCTATACATGTATAATAAACGCTTGATGATCATAAATATTTTGGATTTTCCTTGAGGTGTATGAAAACCAAAAATCCAGATATCCGGACATTCAATTATCCGGACGATTTACGTAAAAAGGAATGTGTCCGGAAATCCGAGGTCTCACTGTAGCTGGAATATTGCTGAGTGTGGCGTAAAACTAAACACACTCACTCACTCACTCATTATTGTGAAATGCCACAACATCAGGTTAACATCATGGGAAGACATATGTTTTTATGAAACTGAAATAAAAACAACTTTATTCCTTTATTCAGCATCACAATACTATTATCAGGTTTGGGGAAGAACGTATTTCCAAACTGATACCTTGCGTTGTTATATTGTAAGTATATATACTGATGGGCAAAAGAAACTTTCTCTTGCAAACATTTTCATAATATCAACATTAGAAAATATAATCAAATGCAAATAGCCCATAGTTATTGCCAACAACCAGGGTTCGATTCTGACCAATATCAGCCCTCAAACGCACCTCTTGACAACTTTGCATCTAAACAGCAAAATGCACGTGTTTTGCAAGTAAGGGTAAAATGCACGTGCATGCATGGTATTAAACCACTTCACAGCACAGAGCATATCGTTCTTCAGCAAAAAACCACTTTACAATGCCGATGTTAACTTCAGCAGAGCGAGAGAGGGCCATCGGAATGCTGCAAATGGGCGCTACAACGGGTCACGTTGAAAGAACCTTCAATTGCTCCGTCGTGACCGTCAGGAACCTTCGTCGGCGTTACCAACAGACTGGTCAGACCTCAGACAGGCCCCAGATAGGCAGACCCCGGGTGACAACTGCGCAGGAAGACCGCCACCTGAGGACGTTACAACTTAGAAACTGCTTCCTGACGGTAACGTCATCAGCGTCAACATCACTCGGTCACCCAGTGAGTCGAAGGATAGTGTCAAGGAGACTACGGGCCTATGGTATCAGGGCCTACCGACCGTATCGAGGAACGCTGCTGACACACCTACATGGTCGCTCCAGAACTTCTTTCACGCCAACAGCATCAACGTCGTGCCATGGCCTGCACGCTCTCCTGACATGTCGCGAATCGAGCACGGATGGGACGACCTTGATAGAGTTACTCAACGGAGACAGAATCCACCAGTTACAGTACAGCAAATGACTCAAGCCCTTGTCGAAGAATGGAGGCGAATCCCAGCTGACGTCATCAGACGCCTCCCAAATTTCAGTCAGGAGACATGTGTTTGCATGTATTCTATCCAGAGGTGGACAAACTCGCTATTAGAGACTTCTGTACACGCTTTGCTGTGTTTCCCGAATGGACCCACTGATCGTGAATTCTCTAGTTTGACCCCATGTCGACCAAACCTGTTCAATGAGTTATCAGCCTTGCTAAAAATCGAACGTTTGTACTTAGCACGTGCCTATGTCATTGCTTGACAGATTATAAATTGCAAACTTCGATTTCTTGTTGCTGTTTTTAAGTGAGTTCAAACTGAACGAGGAGAATGTTTCTTTTGCCCGTCAGTATATATTGTGTTCTATGTACCCGGAGTGACAGGGTATGACGCGATGTATAGCGCCGTCAGTGTATCACAATGTTATAAACTACGGAGAAGATTCGTGAAGATTCCCTGCTTTATTGCAATACAGTAAACACCATTGTGTCGAACATTGAGATGTCGAACATGGAGTTGACTCGCAGTAAAAGTGTTATCCCTGCGTATTCCCTCTGTGGTGTTTCGGTTGTACCGATCCTCGGATAACTCGAATAATTTACTTAGATCCCTTCAGCTTCGACACAGCTGTGTTGGTCTAAGTCATAATGTTTTTGTTCAAGTTTTTATGGAAATTTTGTGATGTGTATTCCATTCTATATGTACAAAGACATTATTCGTGGATGTCAATATGTTAAACACGACCCGTTCCAAAAAATGATAAAGCATTAATACGATCTTAAGTTCGGACTTACGCAAGTTGTCATACGATTCACAGGTCCCGTTTCACAAGCATATCACATGATTATAACTACCATATTTAAGATATTAAGTGTATTACATACATAACTGAATACACATAAAAGCAAAACTTATCTTAGCGCTAAAGTGAGACTCCTTTAATATAGACTTACAACTGCTCGATATAGTATTTACGATATAGGTCGTATCGACGGAACCTGGTAAACTGCCACTGTAATGCATTGCATGTTACAGTACTCACAGTGTCCGTGCATACTGCCTCATCCCTGCGTCACAGCCACTAGACAGTGTGTCCGTGTGGAGCTACTGTCATTGTGTCCGTGGCTGTGTCCAGCTACTGTACAGTACTCACATTGTGTCCGTGGTGTCCAGTGATTGTGTCCCAGCTACTGTCATAGTACTCACATTGTGTCCGTGATTGTGTCCCAGCTACTGTCATCACATTGTGTCCGTGGTTGGCTGTGCCCCAGTACTCACATTGTGTCCGTGATTGTGTCCCAGCTACTGTCATAGTACTCACATTGTGTCCGTGATTGTGTCCCAGCTACTGTCATAGTACTCACATTGTGTCCCGTGATTGTGTCCCAGCTACTGTCATAGTACTCACATTGTTGTGTCCGTGATTTGTGTCCCAGCTACGAACTACTGTCATAGTACTCACATTGTGTCCGTGGTTGTGTCCGAGCAACTCACATTGTGTCCTCTCATAGTACTTACATTGTGTTCGTGATTGTGTCCGAACTACTGTCATAGTACTCACATTGTGTCCGTGGTTGTGTCCGAGCAACTCTCATAGTACTTACGTTGTGTCCGTGATTGTGTCCGAACTACTGTCATAGTGCTCACATTGTGTCCGTGTTATAGTCCGAGAAGCATTAGGATAATACCGTGACGTTCAGACGCGCGGATATGTCTGTTTACTTTACCCTTGCCCTGTATGACTCACCGGACACGCTCATGTCCGTTTCCTAGCCACAGCCATGTGTATTATCGTAGGGATTGGTTGTTGTTGTAGCTGTTATTGTAACAGTAAAATACTGCGTACATACAGCTAAAATCTCCGTTATAACTTAGCGTCCCAACTGGAGTAAAATAATACAAAATTGAAGCATACAACTTTGTGGATGACAACTTTTTTTCATAAACTCTTTAGCTTGAAAACGGTGTAAGAATCTATATCGAAACGTCGCTATATGCAATAAACAAGAAGTAGTCATCCATAGAGTTCTATGATTCATTTTTTACACACCAATGAATGCCTATCAAACACTTGAAGTAATACACCCGGTAATGTAGATCTGCAAGTGTGAGTGAGTCAGTTTAGTTTTGCGCCACTTTTAGCAACATCCCCGGAATATCATGGCGGGGACACCAGAAATGGGCTTTACACATTGTACCCATGCCGGGAATCGAACCCGGGTGTTCAACATGATGAGCGAACGCTTTAACCACTAGGTGGCATGGGTTCACTAATTGCTTGTGGTCACGAGTTCGATTCCCGGTACGCTGTTTTCAGGTTTGTCTGCACCATACACCATGCCGGTGGGTTTCAAGAGGCGCGTAGTTCGCTGTCCAGAGGCCCGCTGTGCATGTGCTCACCAGACACCTATGGTTGTGGGTTCGAATACCAGCTATGTTTCTATGTTTGTCGTGATCGTGAGTATCAAGTCAAAAACGTTTGGGGGCGGTGGGGTAGCCTAGTGGTTAAAGCGTTCGCTCGTCACGACGAAGACCCGGGTTCGAATCCCCACGTGGGTACAATGTGTGAAGCCCATTTCTGGTGTCCCCCGCCGTGATATTGCTGGAATATTGCTAAAAGCGGCGTAAAACCAAACTCACTCACTCACTCATAAACGTTTGAATTCATTCCGGGCTTTCTCCCGACATTAAGCAGATCCGTCAAGATATGACTGGAGTGATATCTAAAGTGGTGTTAAAAACAACTCATTCACTCCTACAAAAACACAGCTTCTACACCCGTGAATATCCGGGTTATAATTTATCTTCAGCAACCCATGCTTGTCGTACGAGGCGACTAACAGGATCAGGTCGTCAGGCTCGCTGACGTGGACATGTCATCGTATCCTAGTTGTGTAGATCGATGCTCATGCTATTGATTACTGGATGTCTGTTCCAGACTCAATTATTTACATACCGCCGCCATATAGCTGGAATATTGCTAAGTGCGGCGTAAAACAACAAACCAACTAACAACACTGCTTCAATATTACAGTGTCACTCGAGATTCTATATTACAGTGTCACTCGAGATTCTATATTACAGTGTCACTCGAGATTCTATATTACAGTGTCACTCGAGATACAAATACTGGGTTCATTCATTCATTGATTAGGGGCGGTGGGGTAGCCTAGTGGTTAAAGCGTTCGCTCGTCACGCCGAAAACCCGGGGTCGAATCCCCACATGGGTACAATGTGTGAATCCCATTTCTGGTGTTCCCCCGCCGTGATGTTGCTGGAATATTGCTAAAAGCGGCGTAAAACCAAACTCAGTCAGTCAGTCATTCATTGATTCGTGTAGCAAAACCGAACGCTACTTCACTATTGACATCTCTTCTGTGTAGCGTCACGCAGATCCTTTCGTGAATGCGCCTTTCAAACCTATGAGTTCTCGTTCAGGTATATGTACATTCATATTTGTCCTATACACCCGTGTGCGTTTAGCATTTCTGCCATAAAGATTTTACACATTACAAACAGTCAAAGAATGTTTTTCAAAAGCGTCCGCACCCGTCGCAAATCTATGGAATCCTAAAAGGGACATTGTCGCTATGTCGCATTGTCAAAAACAAGTAAAGTGAGGCAAAATAAACCAAAACGCGACACGCGACATCGCGACAACGCGACTTTTCGCCCATTTGTTGCATTGTCGCGATATCGCGTGTCACGTTTTGAATAATATTTTTCTATTGATCCAAAGGGCGACACGCGACATAGAGACAATTTTCAAGGTCAAAATATGTCGCTTTGTCGCGCGCCGCCCTATCTAAGATGTGTAAAAAGAAGCCTAAAAATTCACTAAAACGCGACAAGCGACAATGCGACATATTATATGTCGCATTGTCGCGTGTCGCGTTTTCGCCCTTTTCGATTACCGGTGCGCATGCGTAGAAAGTCAATGAGTCTACGCATGCGCAGGAAATGTTATACTCTATTTCACACTTCAGTGGTCTTTTGTTACCTCCAATGGTTTTTACAATGAAGTAGTACGCGTAATGATAACGGGGGCTGCTTTTCTTGAACTTAATGGAATTCTTTCATTGTTGCTTTGAAAATTATTGTATAAATTGTAAGTGTGTTTTAGCAGCAAGACAAATTATTAGCGCTACTATTCATTGTAATCACGGCACACGGTGGCTCTGTCATTCAAGGCGGGGCAATTTGCTGTGCAGAGTTGTGTCTCTTAGTCACACCAGAAAACTATGATCATAGGTTCTAATCCCAGTACCATACGCACTCATCACTTTGGACATTTCACCCACATCAAGCTCACAGGTTGTGAAAAAACTCAAATATTGTTAAAATTCAGGCCACATCGGAAGAAACATCAAGTGATGTCCACAATTGGGTTACTATGTTCCACAGTGTGGCTCCTCAGAGAGATTCTTGGTACAGTCCTGTCCGACGCTGATGAACTTGTTCAGCCAGCAGTGGATGGATACCAGGTAGAATGAGATGGTTATATCACTTAACCATCCAGCACATCAAATACAGTTTTGGTCGACTTTGAACGTGATATTCTTCTTGGGAAAACGCCATACAAATGGAATGTTATCATTATGATTTTAAAAGCGGTCAAATCGCTTGGCAGAGTTGCGTACCCTTGGAGTGCCAGAAATCAACCCTCGCTCGCTCGCTCCCTCCCTCCCTTCCCTCCACTCCCCGCTCCACCCACTCACTCACTCCACCCAACTCATCTCCACTCCGCTCTACTCCACACCACTTCGCTCCACTCCACTCACTCCGCTCCACTCACTCACACATTCCACTCCACTCCTCTCCACTCCCCTCGACTCCGCTCCGCTCACTGACTCAATTCTCTTAAAATATTGAGTACAGTATGTATTATAACGTATTTACTAAAACGCGACACGCGACAATGCGACAACGCGACATTTTGATGAAATGTCGCGTTGTCACGCATCGCGTGTCGCGCTTTGTTAAAATATTGAGTATAGTATGTATTATAACGTATTGGACTAAAACGCGACACGCGACAATGCGACAACGCGACATTTTGATGAAATGTAGCGTTGTCGCATTGTCGCGCGTCGCGCTTTGTTAAAATATTGACTATAGTATGTATTATAACCACAGGGGTTCGAATCACTGTTCCCAGGGTCTGCTGCCCTAACGCTTACACAACTAAAAAAGCCATTTATTGTCGAATTCTTTTCTTATGTATTATGAGGAAATAATTGATAAAGTTCAAACCATTGTTTTTTAACTGTGCTTGTAAAATTATCGGCTCTCAGTAACATAATACAGAAAAATATATTCCTTATCTTGAGTTACTTTGGTAGATATAATTTGTAATAAAATTAAACAGATCCATCCATGTACACGCTTTTTTTCGAAGAATGTTGTCTGAATCGGTTTGTAAAACAACATAAAAGGTTTTACCAATATTATTCAGAAATGTTTATGATTAAAATCAACATGGGGAATCAAATGATCAGTACAGAAAACACACACAATTACACTGCTGAATACAATGAATTTGACCCACTATTTTACTAAAATGAATATATAAAAATACACAGTATGATCAGTATGCTAATACACTACCATAAAATTACATACATTGCCTTAAAAGTACATATATTTGAAGATTAACATTTAATACAGATATACATTCCGCTATTTGAGCTTTTACCACTGAAACTTGTCCTGAGTACTGTAGTTTTTATGGCTTGAAGCCAGTATCAGTGTATACATTTGGTATACATGTATACTCTCCCAAAAAAGAAACGCATATAGGAATTTCAACTGTATTTTTATGTTTATTTTGAAACATCTTGTAGGCTTTATGAGTCAATGAAATATAGCGAAATTGCACACTGGGAATGCAGACTTATCCGTCTTTGGCACCAACTCGAGGAAAGTCAGTTTGAGTGTCACATGGAGACTTGTGGTGGTGCTGAAGTCAATACCTCGTGTGACCACCGTGGGCATCCAGAGCTGCACGGCATCGCCTCGGCATCGAACGAATAAGTCTCAGAATCTCGTATTGCCCAATGGCAGCCCACTCTGCCTGCAGTGCCTGTGCGAGTTGCTGAAGTGTCTGGGGCTGAGGGTTACGGCGTCGCTACCGTCTGTCCTGGGCATCCACAGATGTTCGATCGGGTTTAAGTCCGGTGATCTTGAGGGCCAGGGGAGCACATTGATGTTGTGGTTCTGGAGGAAGTCTCTAGTGTGACGTGCTGTGTGGGGCCTGGCATTGTCTTGTTGAAACAACTCCCTCTGGCGATCAATAATGGAAGGAGGTGTGGGCGTAGGAGTTTGTCACAGTACCGTTGAGCTGTCAGGTTGCCCTGGATCATCACCAAATCACTTCTCCTACGGCAGGTGATCGCTCCCCACATCATAACACTTCCCCGGCCGAATCTGTCCACCTGGGGAACGCAAGCGTGGGCGAAACGTTCACGTCGACGTCTGTACACCCGCATTCTTCCATCGCGTCGTTCCAATAGAAATCGTGATTCATCACTGAACCAGATTCTACGCCAATTCGGTAGGTTCCAGGCCTGAACGTTGGTGCACCATTGAACTCGATGTCGACGATGTTCTTGTCGAAGCACAGGGCCAAAATTAGGTCTTCTGGCACGTAAATCAGCCTCTCTCAACCTGTTCCTGACAGTCTGTGCAGAAAGCCTCCTCAATCCGGGTATTTGTGGAGCGGTACTGGTCGCCGTAGCTGTTTGATTACGCAGGTGATGTAGCCGGATGTAGCTATCCTGCGCCGCAGTGGTCGCTCGAGGTCGCCCACTACGAGGTGCATCTGCTACCGCATTCTGCCGGCGATATCTCTCCCGGAGCCATGAAATGGTGCTTTGGTGAACATTCATGCGTCGGGCAACTGCACGTTGAGACGCCAGCTTCAAGCAAACCATTGGCGATATGACGGTTGGCCTCACTTAGACGTGGTATTTTGCGCTCGTCAACAATATTCCAAATACAGTGAATAATCGACAGGAAACGATCAACCTTTTATACCAATCATTGAGACTATCTGATCCCCAACTTTCACGTGCATTGCATGTGAATTGTGTATTCTGTGACACTACACGACGAAATCATGCTGTTAAATACGGGTATTTTGCGGATGATGCGTTTTGTTGTGATGTTTCAAAACACAAACACCATAGGGCTCATAAACAGAGCAAAACCTTTTGTAAAATGAATCATCGTGCTATCACGATGCGTATATATTGATTATTTTGAGCATGATAACCCTGGTGATATTTGAATAGATCTGATACATGTTAATAATCATATAATTTGATATCAGCAATTATTCAGCAGTTTTAAAACAAGTTTGATTAAATGCTACAATGGAGTCTTTTTGCGTTACTTTATTATACTTTATGGCTGTGCATACAAACATATTACAACACATAATCAGTGATTTTACATTGAAATTTGGAGAATGACAGTGCTCTGAATTTGTTAGCCAGTTCACTATTGATATTTGTTTTAAATTGAAATTGTATGGTTTGTAGATCTAGAAATCTGGGTATTGTGTTAACACCTATCCTTATTTGGACTAAAGCACTAGCTACTCTTGGTGTAGAGATTGAAAAGGCTATTATGACATTGTACAGATATTAAAAGAAAGTTGGAAATATACCATGTCCAGATTTATTTAAGATATTTAGGGCTCCTTGCCTCTAGGCAGGAGACCTATTATAATCGTTAATGTTTTTTTTATTATTATTATTTATTATTCCGCCGTATTTTGTACCAGCCCTACCAGTGGACAGAATCGCTTGAGAAAGGTCACCTAGATGCCCATCGAGGTGTAGATATTCCCCATTAAAATCTCAATGCTATAGGCCCAATAGCAAAGGGCAGATAATTCAAAATGATTTTAAAAATTCAATTTCAAAAGCAAGTGTGTGCAAAACTACTGAGCTAATAAGTGCCAAAGTTCTTGAGCAGATGCGCAATCCAAATGCCTACAATTTTCCTTGACTGGTCAAGTCGCTTTAATGTACCGTTTGGCAGTTATGTTTGTTTAACTGATGTCCAGTACGATTGTGCAACTTCTGCACAAAAAGTGCCAGGTTGCCGTTCCACTAACCGATCTTACCTAAGATCAATCTTAGCAAGTTACGCAAATTTTACAATCGTCTTAGCTAAAGTTACACCCGTTCCACTACCCGATCTTAGGCCGATCTTAGCCGGTCCCGATCTTACGATCCGATCCAAGCTTAGATCGAGACTCTTTCGTGCGAGAGGTAGAGGAATGCGAGGCACGAGTTATCTCCCTTTGCATAGTCTAGCAAATGATGGAAGTAGTTTACGAACCAACTGAGTGAGTGAGTGAGTTTAGATTTACGCCGGACTCAGCAATAGTCAAGCTATATGGCGGCGGTCTGTAAATAATCGAGTCTGGACCAGACAATCCAGTTATCAACAGCATGAGCATCGATCTGCACAGTTGGGAACCGATGACATGTGTCAACCAAGTCAGCGAGCCTGACCACCCGATCACGTTAGTGGCCTCTTACGACAAGCATGGGTTATTGAAGTTCAATATTCTAACCCGGGCCTTCATGGGTATTTTTCCAACCAAGTGTAAACGTGGAAAAAAAAACTAGAGCAAAATATTAGGGTAGTGAGCACCTTGGTTTCAGGTGCAAGTGCGTGTGAACGCTGGGTATCAGGCATAATATAATAATAATAATAAATGTCATATGCATATTTATAGTGCGCCCATTCCACACGTCCTGGGGCATGCTCAAAACGCTATGTACAGATAATTTACACGAGAGTATTTACAGCCGAGATTATAAGTAATATACTGAGAACAGGTTTTAAGTCTGGACTTTAATAATGTCAATTGTGTCATAGCTTTTAATATGTGCCTGAACCTTGTCAATCAGAATAAACAAGGCGTGACGAGGCATCCTCTATAACGTATGTAGAATCTGTTAGTGGTCTTGAATAACACACGGCCTGCCTTTAGAATTCCCCACCAAATAATCGCACATGAAATCAAACATATTTGTATCTTTTTGTTTCAGAACATTGTTCACTTCACGGCTGTCGTTATTCTTAACCATGACGTTGCAATATTGTTGTACAAATGTGTTACAGCGACTCGCTCGGTTGTGTTCCCATGACGACAGTGGTCAGACTGGCCTGACATTTGTAAGGTTTCAGTGCAGTGTTTGTTTACATGACAGAAATATACAAATTCATTTCATGGGGGATTTTAGGGGACGCTCACGGTGAAATGCTCGCTCTTATTTTTCACATAGAATAGGAAAGCCACCATTTTGGTTTCTCTACGATTGATTTTAGCTATCCTAAGTTGGTCATGAGCAACTTAGACTTGGAATCTTAACTTTACGATTGACTTAGGTAAGATTGGTTAGTGGAACGGTACGCCGATCGTAACGTCACGCTAAGATTGGGATTTTAGGGGTTTACGATTGGCATAGGGCTGAGATCGGTTAGTGGAACCCAGGGTGCCGTTCCACTAACCGATCTTATCTAAGATCAATCTTAGCAAGGTACGCCAATTTTACAATCGTCTTAGCTAAAAGTTACACCCGTTCCACTACCCGATCTTAGGCCGATCTTAGCCGGTCCCGATCTTACGATCCGATCCAAGCTTAGATCGAGACTCTTTCGTGCGAGAGTCACATTGTTTTTAAGGAATGGAGAGTTACGAGGATATTACCCTACTTAAATTACATTCAAAGTATTGGGAATATTTCTGTTATCAAAGTTATATGTCAAAATGACAAAATGAAGTCTTTAATTTGAAGCTGGTACACATCGCTCCATTCCTGAAAAGTAATGGAGCGAGCAGACAATGGAATGACGTCACAAATGTAATTTAATCTTGAATCACATGCGGCTTGCCTTTAGAATTCCCCACCAAATATGCGCAGTGAAATCAAACATATTCTGTATCTTTTTGCTTCAGAACATTGTTCACTTCATTATTCTTAACCATGACGTTGCAATATTGTTGTACAAATGTGTCACACCGACTCGCTCGGTTGTGTTCCCATGACGACAGTGGTCAGACTGGCCTGACATTTGTAAGGCTTCAGTGCAGTGTTTGTTTACATCACAGAAATATACAAATTCATTTTATGGGGATTTTAGGGGACGCTCACGGTGAAATGCTCGCTCTTGTTTTTCACATAGAATAGGAAAGCCACCATTTTGGTTTCTCTACGATTGATTTTAGCTATCCTAAGTTGGTCATGAGCACCTTAGACTTGGAATCTTAACTTTACGATTGACTTAGGTAAGATTGGTTAGTGGAACGGTATGCCGATCGTAACGTCACGCTAAGATTGGGATTTTAGGGGTTTACGATTGACATAGGGCTAAGATCGGTTAGTGGAACGCACCCTGGACGATAGACAAAGTCTTGGTGATTCCAGAACACTAATTGTTTTGACCGTAGACTAAAGAACAACTGAGATACTGACTTTTAAAGAGGGGACTATTTCTTCTCAAGAACTTCTTAAAAGGAACATGACCCTCGTGACCCCGGCTGCATTTCAACGATTCGCTCCCGTCTCAAAAACGTCTTCTGGCTGCGTTTGGGGCAATTTCTAGCCCTCAAATACAATTCAAACACCCGTAACTCTGAAACCAACCGTCCGGTTTCGACCAAAATGTACCTGTACAAGTGATCTATTAGTGTGGATTATAACTAACGATTGCAGTAATGTATCTCCAAAGACAACGGAGGGACAAGTAAAATTATATTTTCCAGAGTTTAGTTGCTATCTTCATCGGTTCTCTAGAGAACACTATGAAAGTTAGCCGTATGTATCTCAAACGTTAGCTGATCAGTTTCTGTTCTTCGGTGCATGTGAAAAGTATCACCGTTTGGTACATATCTTCTTCATGATTTTTTGTTAGAGATAGATGTTTGAACAAAGGGTTCTTCTATTTTGAGATACATGATACCCAAGTGATATTTTCTAATCTAAGAAAAAAGGTTTGGTGATGAATTTATCGAAACTTAAAGACCTTCCAGTACTTCCAGTCGAAGAGCATTCGACTAGCAGTGATATGATTCATATTAACTAAAACTATTACTACTTTCATCAGTTATGTGACAGACACAATAGGCTATATTTTTTCATTCCTCCAAAGGGCGACACGCGACATAGCGACAATTTTCAAGGTCAAAATATGTCGAGTGTCGCGTTTTAGTAATGTTTTAGGCTGTTTTTACACATCTTACATAGGGCGACGCGCGACAACGCGACATATTTTGACCTTGAAAATTGTCGCTATGTCGCGCGTCGCCCTTTGAGGAATGAAAAATATATTATTCAAAACGCGACACGCGACATCGCGACAGTGCGACAAATGGGCGAAATGTCGCGTTGTTGCGATGTCGCGTGTCGCGTTTTGTTTAATTTTGCTTGTATTTGAGAGGGCGACAACGCGACAATGCGACAACGCGACAATGTCCCTTCCAGGATTCCATACAAATCCGTCTATACATTCCATCCCTGGAAAAACCAGTCCACCTCAACACTTGATCCATGTAACGTTCTATATGTGTCACTGTGGTGCGTAGTGTTTGCATGTCGTTTTTTATTAGTGTCTTCTTTGTATCAAATTTATTCATAAGTTTAGTTTAAACATATTTCTACTCTCATAACGCGGATGGGGCTTGGTATAATTCACCACTTTGGGACAAGCTCCAGATTTTACTCAGCTGACTGTGTACTGTAGAGGACAGTAGGAATATGAACTAAAGGTAAGTGGTGAGGGAGAACAAAATATATGTAGTTCTAAACAAATATTTTGAGGACAAAAAAAGTTCAAAATAAATATTTTGAGGATAAAACAATTCAAAATAAATATCTTTTACATACATACATCTGTTTATGTCATCATGTTTACACTGTAGCTGATATATCATGGAATATTGTGACTTGGGCGAGAGAGAGAGAGAGAGAGAGAGAGAGAGAGAGGGAGGGAGAGAGAGAGAAAGAGAGAGAGAGAAGGTGACTTGGGTTTAACGCCGCACAGATCTTTACCGCACAGATCTCATAAATGAGATATTTTGCATTGAGCTGCAAAACCAGGTTACATTTTAAACTACGATCCTAAATATTTGTTTTAAAACTCGCTGGTACATTGTATTTTAGGGCAACATAACTACAACCCTTTTGCTCGGGCGGCCCCTAACCTTCAGCTCAGTATTGTACAGTCTCGAAATGATTTGTAAAGGTTTCATTGTCAACGCTCCAATAACAGTTTACAGCGTCATCAAGTTCATGAATGACAACAAATAACATCTAAAGATAGTAACAGGATGTGCTAACACGATTGCTGTGTATTGTTAACTCACGTACCTGGTTTAAAAAGCCATATCCATCCGATATACTATTTCAGCTTTAAATCTTCCTGGTATGGTGCTGAGAGATATAAGCCCAATGTACATGGTATGATACGTCTCATTATCGACACGAAGACACTAGGCCTCCGTTAACTTACTCATGTCAACTGTAACACTTTGTGAAGCTACCTTAGTGGTAAGAATTATATTTGAACACCAAAATTTTTCATTTATTTTCTTGAACTAGTTAAACTGACGCACATAAGTAAGTGTACACCTAGTTTTATGAGATATTTTCCAAGAAACAACGTAAATATCTGAAAACTGTGTGGTTGTGACTAAAAAGTCACAAACAATTTATGTTGATTGAGAAGTTCCATTATACTGACTGACTGACTGAGTTTGGTTTTACGCCGCCTTTAGCAATATTCTAGCAACATCACGGCGGGGGATACCAGAAATGGGCTTCACACATTGTACCCATGTGGGGATTCGAACCCGGGTCTTCTGCTTGACGAGCGAACGCTTTAACCACTAGGCTACCCCATCGCCCCAGTTCCATTATAAGAAAGAATACACTGATGTTTAATGGTGACTAGAAATGAGACAAAAATTAAATGATGAATTATATCATTTGTGGTGTATTTGTACCTTAAATTAGGGACCTTAAGTTTAGGGGTGGCAACTGTTTTCAACAAACCAGAAGTTACGTTTGAACAAAATTGGTATGTTTTAGACAAATCCAGTTTCACGTATTAACCAATGTTTGTAAACATTTGTTTTAACAGCGAAATGATTTTCAAACTAGTCGCTGTCGGTGACGAAGGGGTTGGGAAGACCTGTCTCCTGTCTGCGTCCGAAGGTTCCTCTCTCCCTGCAGAGTACACTTCTACGGTGATTGACACCTTCACTTCCGTAATCATGGTCCACGGCAAGCCTGTAACCCTGGGACTCTGGGACACGTCCGGGCAGGTACAGTGAACAGGGGTCAAATGGTATTTGTTGTCAGGGGTCGGGTTTGGGTATGTCGAGTGTAAATAGTTCGTGCTCTTGAAAAGAAAGAAATTGTTTATATTTAAACCATAACGGTCACGAACATCTCATTTATCTCCAGGAAGACTTTGACCGGCTCCGCTCCCAGGCCTACTACCACACTGACGTGTTCCTTCTGTGTTTCGATGTCAAGAACAGACAATCCTTAGAGAACATCTGTAACAAGTGGTACCATGAAGTGGAAATAAAATGCCCTCATACGGCAACAGTACTCGTTGGCTGCAAGGCAGGTTAGTGTTGCTTATCATTGCTCATAATATCAACCTTTTGTTTAATGTAAGCTCCTTACAACGACATGTATGTCAACTTTGATTTAGATTTTGTGATGCATAGGGCGTTTTCTGGCAATACACACTATCCACCTGAATGTATATATACTGAGCAATAAAAGAAACTTCACATGTGTCTCTTTATGTCCGAAGCAAACCCATAGAGAGCATTGAGTGTTGCTAGTGGATAAATCTGGTTTAAGGACCTAATCAGCTGGGTAACCCAAAACAGGATGAGGCATAACCCCCTGGATGCCGAGATTTTTTTCAGGCGCACATTTTCATAAGGTTTGAAAAGTGAACGTTGTGCAAGATTTGCGCTCGAGTTGTCGATGATGTGCGTACGGCTATACAATTACACAGAAATGCGCCACAGGGACATATATGTCATTCCTCCTCAACCCTCACTTTGAAGTCCAATACAGTCTAAATATATCACGCACACAAATATACTTCACAGTTTCGAATTCTGCGGGAAAATCTCCTGTTTCTTGATACCATCCACTATTATCTAAGACAAAGTTAAAGTGCTGTAAAAGCCTTTCAAAATAGGTTTCATAGTAAATGCCGCCATTTTTGACACAGTACGAAATCGCGAATCACAGCGTTATTTGCTGTATGTTTTGAAATGTGAAAATCGGAAAATTACTGGGAGTATTGAATTTCCAAAATAACATATTAATGATCAATTATATCAGTTTTTCATGAAATCACTAATGATAATTCTGAAACGTTGCCGATGAACCGAATATCGGTTGGGATGTTTTCGAAAATGCACTAACACGAATGCCGAAGTGCGCTTTCCGCATATTGGATAGTGTTTACGTTTACAAAATCACGTATATTGAAACGTATATTACACCACGTATATTTCATATTCAACTGCGACAAATGCATCACAGAATTCCCCATACAACTTGGAATTAAATAACAAATGGTCTTTGTGACCAATACTAAGTGTCGAGATGAAATGAAACGAAAGATATCGGGTGAGCCCTCCTCCACAGCCAACAGTAGCACGATAAGGTCACTTCTTCATTTCACATAAACTTTACATATGTGTGTGTGTGTGTGTGTGTGTGTGTGTGTCTTGTATATATACATAGACACACACATATACGTCCCATCAAAAGTTTAGACTCACTTAAAACACTCACTATATGTTATGTATATATATATATATATGGTTACATCGAAGATGAATTTCTGGAGGAACCAACTGCAAACTTTATGCACGAGGATCATGCATCAATTTGCTGAAAAGCACGTGCAAATATCGTGCATGTGCAGAGCTGCGTTTTGATGTAAAGTTTTGTTAAGTATTCGCAAATTTTCACTGATTTTTATCATTTACTGAACTCATGACAATAATCTTTTCAACGTTACGAATTTGTTTTACAATACATCAGTTCATCTGTATACAGTGCCTTACTTGGGTATGGGATATTTGGCAAAATCTAGTTTAGAACAGCAGCCTGAAGAAAGTGACTACATTTACTCTAGTGAGTCTAAACTTTTGATGGAAAGTATATATACATTCATTCCAGACTTACGTAAAGGTGCCGGGGATGAGACAGCAGTGTCCTACAAAGAAGGTTCTGCATTAGCGAAGACCCTGAGGGTGAATTACTACGAAACATGTGCCCTGGCTTATAAAACTATTCTGCAATGTTTCGAGGGAGCTGTAAGTACCAGTTCCAATACTTCCTTTAATAGTTGCATCTTCATCTCGTATCCCACAAAGATATGATACATGTTCTGTCACCGATCTCCGAGATAATTTCCTTGTTCAGTACACTGTAAAATACGTGTGACAAACTAAGATGATGGCTTGTCTTGTAAGTCATTGGTGAATAATGGACTGATAACCATTTCAGATCAAGTATGGATTAAAGAATCTTGAAGCCATGAAGAAGCAAACCGGTTTCAGGAGATTCAGAAAACCTATGCCGCTTCGTCCGCCAATGCCACCCGCAGGTACACGCTCTACTCACAAACAACACCTTAAAACAGTCGACGTAGTCAGTAAAAAATAATGTAGTGTATGAGATGTATACTTCTACGACTTCATTTCAGCAGATCGATCACTGTTTATTAACTTCTTTAAAGAACGAATATTATTTTGTTTTAGGATTTTGTTTTTTATTTATCATGTAGCCATTGTAGATTTGACCCCTTTGCCGGAGATAGGGGCGTCCGAGTTTGCTGACCACTGGTACCAGCTCCTGAAGGACCCCAAGTTCTCGGACGTCACCTTCCTCCTGGGTGACAGACATCAACTGGACGCCCACAAGATCCTCTTGTCCTCAGCCTCAAAGTTCTTCGTCCCAAATCTTACAGTTGCCATATACAAGAAAGGTAATGAGTCATTGTGATTCTGAATAACGTACTTTTCGTTGGTCTTATATCTGATGCATTACTAAAGGAAGGCTCATTTGATTAAATGTGTTTGTTGTGTAGCGTCGCACTAAGCGATAGTCCAGGATTCTATGTGAGTGAATATAAGTAAATAACTGAAACTGTGTCAGACTGTAATAGGCATTAGGAACATCGATCCAAGCAATCCGATTGGATGATTGGTCTGACTATAATGACACCCGATTCCTGTTGTCGCCGTTGATGAATGGCATGGGATGTCTACCTTTTTTTATGCACCAAGTCTAAATTACTCCTTAAGAAGTTTGTACATAACTAACTATACATTTTTATTCAATGTGCATTTTCATTCATCCATATGTATTTATATACCTATGAACCTTTGCAAACGATTATGCCTGGTTCGCATTTGGCCTGCGATGGCTCTACGGCGCCCGTAAACTGCCCGAAAACTCCATTTCCGTGCGGTCGCCGTGTGGCGGCAGGCGGCGGCCGTACGATTATCGCATTCTACAGACAGCGAAGTTTGACAAATTTGGAAAAATCGTAAGCCCGTATCCCGCATTTGGTGGTGATACGGAGATCGTACGGAAATCGTGCGGTTTCTGTACGGTCTCCACAGCTACTGCACGGACATTGTACGGAGCCCGTACGGCGTCCGTGCGAAGGCTGAGAGGAGATCGTACATTGATCCAAAAAATAAAAAAAAATCCAGAAAAAATCTGATGCAAAACTGAGAGAAGACTCTTGTCACTCTCATACCTGAGAAGCCTAATACATAGATAGAATTGACTGAGGTTGAGAGTAATCGTTGTGTTTAAATACACACTTTGTTGGCCATAAGTTGTGATGATTATGACGATTTTGGTGATTTAAATGCCCGTATTGGACAGTTTTATAGAAACACTACGTGTCAGATATCTCGGTACATTGTCGTGCCAACGGGGCGGTGGGGTAGCCTAGTGGTTAAAGCGTTCGCTTGTCACGCCGAAGACCCAGGTTCGATTCCCCACATAGGTACAGTGTGGAGCCAATTTCTGGTGTCCCCCACCGTGGTATTGCTGGAATATTGCTGAAAACGAAGAAAAAAACCACACTGTGATACTGGTCTTTGGCGTGACGAGCGAAAGCTTTTATCACTTTCGTACCCTACGTGTCAAAGTAATGACGAACAGGTTCGATCTTTCATCTGCGTATGTAAATATTTAAACAGATACTTTTTTTTTTAATTAGACCAACCAGCTGACAAAGGTCAAGGAGACATTGGTCATCACCAGGGATGACCTAAACTCAGGCAAGGTGGACGGCATCACCTGTGTGTCCGACACAGACTACAAGACCAAGCCAGGTCACGTGACCATTCAGCTCAGCGCCGACATCACGGCCGCCATATTTACACACGTGTTGGAGTTCCTGTATACGGGTATGCTTAGACAAGAATCTAGCCTCTGAAATGAGCTATTTCACAAAAAACTCAACTCTTAACTTATGAAAAAACATACAATACAGTCATATAGATTCACTTTCAGAACCTGCGGAAGTCTAGACTTGCCAAATATTATAGACATGCATGGGCGGTAATCGATACAAATTGTTTGTATCCGAGCCTGTATGACAACCAAGCGTAAAACATTATTTCCCTCTATTTCTTCTGTATCAAACTGGTTAAAGTCAAGTAAGTGAGTGAAGTTTTATCTAGTCGCAGAGATCTTAATACATGTAAACATCTTTTTGAATATTTGAGTATGGACAAAGGAAACAGTTGTTTCATAGCAAAAGGAATGATTTACACTACGGCGAAATTGGCACATATTGGACCAGGTAGCCCTTTGACTCTGGCTTTCGAAGTTTTCGATCAGCATTGGGTTAATGACGAGTCGTTTTAGGAGCAACAGTATGATGCATGAGAGGTATATGTATCTCATATGTAATGGTATTTACATAGTAGTGCAGTCCTACATCTTGTGGCAATACGAAGCTGTTTGTAAACTGACGAAAAATAGCAAGTACTTCTTATTGGAATTGATGGTATGTTTATATTTTCATTTGAAACTATTTGATGTTCAAAACGTGAACTGCTCTTGCGCTTACAACAATACTTCTGCTTGATACTTTTAAAGATATATTTTGATTGAGAATCTTAAGAACCTATTAGCTCTACGTGGCATTGTTTTCAAAAATATAATTTGATTTAAAGCTTTTAAGCTATTGATTGTTTTCGCATTATACTCATCTGATATTCGAAAATCAATATATAGTATATTTGCTTTTTTCGGAAAAAATATATAACCTGTAAGCAAAAGTACAGCAAATGCATTTTTCTAAAGTCTTCTTCGAAGCAATTTAATTTGTGTTCCTATACCCAGATACAACTTACTTTTGCCAAATTGTTGCAGGAATGGGCGACGGTTAAAAAGACCTAGTCAAAGTTCTTTTAAGTTTCGGTTACATAAAATTTTATAATATATTTTTTCATCTACAGAAGAAAAATGATTTCAATGTACTTTCTTTTACTCAGTTTACGAAATAAGTAGTTCCTGTCTGGTCTTCAGGAACTCCCCGACTGCCGGATGACGTCAGTGAACAACGCCTGGAAGATCTCACCAGGGTGGCCGAGATCTTTAAACTCCCCCATCTGGTGACAATTTGCCGCAACGTGTTGAACGGTGAAGCATTCCTCAACCACAGAATCACCATCTTCTTGAACCACGAGACGGCCTCCAACATGAAGGAGCTGTATTTCAACCAGCCAGAGGCAGCTGATGTCGTTTTCGACATCGGAGGTAAGAATGGGTCATCGATATTTTTCGTCGGTTTACTGAATATATTACGTTAACGTTTGACGTTAATATTTAGTACGAATTATCCTCCAAAACAATGCCATTGACAAAAATGCAAATTAGCGGTGATGATTATACGAAAGGATCACCATTATTCAGTGATAATCTCATTACACTATATGTATGTTTGCTTGGTTCTTAGACCCGTGAGGGGCGGTGGGGTAGCCTAGTGGTCAAAGCGTTGGCTGCCATGCCGAAGACCAGGGTTCGAATCCCCACATGGGTACAATGTGTGAAGCCCATTTCTGGCGTCCCCCGCCGTGATGTTGCTGGAATATTGCTAAAACCAAACTCAGTCAGTCAGTCACTCAGTCAGTCTTAGACCCGTGAATATCTGGGTTAGAATAGGTCTTCAGCAACCCATGGTTGTCATAAGAGGCGACTAACGGGATCGGGTGGTCAGGCTCGCTGACTTGGTTGACACATGTCTCAATTGCGTAGATTGATGCTCAAGGTGTTGATCATTGGGTTGTCTGGTTGTTTCAAAGAGTATGTAACTTAGTCTTTTCTATGATGAAGACTGTGATGCTTTAATACAACTGTTTCAGGACGCGAGGTGTACGCTCACAAGGTAGTCCTGACGTCTCGGTGTGACGTCATGGCCGCCATGTTTGGAGGCGCTTTTATCGAGGCTCAACAGTCCGGGAGGTGCAAGGTAGGGTCTTGCGTTCTTGCATCTGCAGATCATCCGACATACTGACACCTGTGTACACTGTTGTGCACGTACTGTGCATGGAGATTTATATATTGGTTATCTATTTATTGACATGTTTGTAAACATACTCAGTGGACGATGTGTGAATTCATATAACCTATTATGATAGTGAGTTTTAGTTTTAGGTTTATGTCGATTTTAGCAATATTCCAGCAATATCAATATGAGGACCACCAGAAAGGGGCTTCAAATATTGTAACCAAGTGGGGAATCGAACCCGGGTCTTTGGCGTGACAAGCAAACTCTTTAACCACTGGGCTACCCCACCGACCCTCTGGACATTAGCGTATTAACTAAGCTACATGCCGCTATTCTGTTTCGTGAAGTGGTAACAGTAAATTTAGAATCACATTGGGAAATATACATTGATTCTCAGTAGAACATTTAAACAGACACTGATCGTGTTTACTGTAAAATAATGCGTATTGTTTTGTCTTCGAGGTGAACATTCCTAACACAACCTGTGAGTGTTTCCTGGCGTTACTGGAGTATCTCTACACGGACCACGCCCCCATTGAAGGCGGTGATGCTGTCGGGATATTGGTCCTGGTGGATGAATACTGTCAGCCTCGCCTCTTGAACATGTGTGAGTTGTACATCACCAAGGAAGTTGACCGGAGCTGTACCAAGAACATCAAGAAGTCCAAAATCGACGTCATCGGTCTCCTTCTGACATCTCAGGTAGGGATGCTCAACATCATCATAACAGTGCGTCATTAAACAACACTCATTTCCTCATTTTAGAAATCTGTAATGACAGCTCAGATAATGAGACTGAATACGACAGTACTGTAACTAACTGCATTGTTATACAGTGGACATGCGTGACCAAATCGCCTAAACACCCGTGAAGATCCGTGTTAGAATTGGTGTCCATGCTTGTCGTAAGAGGCGACTAACGGGATCGGGTGGTCAGGTTCGCTGACTTGGTTGACACATGTCATCGTATCCGAGATGCGTAGATCGATGCTCATGCTGCTGATCACTGGATTGTCTGGTCCAGACTATTTACAGACCGCCGCCATATAGCTGGAATATTGCTGCGTGCGGCGTTAAACAAACAAAACCAGTTGTCTAAGGCGTCCCAATTCACTGTGCAGAGGTGCCATAGCTCAGGTAGGGTTCCTATACATTATCGAGATTTATATAAATATTTATTTACTTCTAACTATTTCTCATAATCAGAATGTACATGGATTCAACATTTAGAAATCAAGAATGATGGACAGGACGGAGGTGACTTTTTTATACTTATTCTTTAAATTCTAAAAGTCTTGACCATTAAATATGGCCTAAGATACACTATTGGTCAGAACGTGGGTAGCGTGGTCTACAACATTTGACCATCTTAGCGAAAGTCGGGGTTCGAGTCCCTTCATAGTGATGTTTTTGGTGCTGTCGTATATTTCTGAATCTTGTTATTGTAGCTTCACAACGCCTCCCAGCTGTCTAAATGGTGCCTACACTTCATCTCAACCAACTATATAGCTTTCTCAAAAAGACCAGAGTTCGTGATGTTGAAAGGAGACAATAGGGTCCACGTGGAAGAGAACCGATGGCCGCCATCGGCCTACCTCCAGGACGTGGAGGAGTATGAGAAGATGGTGGCGAAACAAGGACGAAAGTGTTCGGTCATGTGAACCGGTGTCATGTAGAGACTCATCGTTGGAAGTTAATGCTGATCGTGTGTATGATATTGGAAGGATCCCATCAGGTGGCGCAATGCACTTCCCAGCTGGGAGTTAATGTACCGCCATTGTTTGGTGTATAACTGTGAGAAACACAACAGTGAACAGCAGACAGCAGAGAATAGATCAACCTCCCACCTTACTCTTCCCGACATGCTGATCCGAACGTAAATGGGAACTTCCTGATGCAATGTGTTTTTCCAAAACCATGAGTGTCAAATTATATTCCAGTCTCTTTTGATAGTCCCAGTTGCGTAGATCGATGCTCATAATGTTGATCACTGGATTGTCTGGTCCAGACTCGATTATTTACAGACCGCCGCCATATAGCTGGAATATTGCTGAGTGTGGTGTTAAACAACAAACCAACCAACCAGCTATGTATTAAGATAGCACTTTTTCTCACTGCCAATTTGGTACCGCAAACTCTGCATCTAGTTCGTATGTGTTTTTGATCAAATACCTGTGGCTGGAGCAATCCAAGTAAAACCATGGAACTTTCAACATTTAGAAAAAGGTTTACGCAAAACCCTCAATGTGCTTCAAGGAAACTAATGTAAATATTCCACGTGAAGAACCTTCATTAGGTGGAGATGTGGCGGAGTTAACTGTGAAATAACTGCTAAGTAGCTGTGGTGCAGCCGTGAAGTATCTGTGATAATTCAGTGCAATAAATGTGATAAAATTGAATAATTCCTGTGATATGAATGCGAAATGAATATGATGCAACCGTGAGATAGGTTTGACAGCCATGACCATAAAAGCTGGGAATACATATCAGCACCAAAGGGATATTGTTGTGACCCACAAATAGAACGTGGATTTGTTCAAATTTAACATTTGAAGCTTAAGTCTGTGCGATCATTTCCAAAGTCGAGTTCTGCCAAATGTACTAGTACAGCTTTTCGTTCAAACCTAAAACATCACAAACGAGTCGTGACACATAAGTACAGGTAATTGAGTCACGAGTGAGTGAGTATTTTACGCCGCTTTCAGCAATATCCTACCAATATCCCTACAATATCACGACGGGTGACAACCGAAATGTTCTCATGTGGGGAATAGAACCTGGGCCTTCTTCGTGACTAGCGAACGCTTTAACCACTAGATAATCCCACCGCCCAACCACTCTACATAGTCAAAAGTTCTGTGGAAACTGACTCTGACCAGCACAAGAAGTCTCATTCTCTTCCCGCAGAGGTTACTTGTCATATCTTCCTACGAACCTCTGTTCTAATACGGCCATATTTCCCGGTTCTCGTAAAATCCCCTATCGGCCAAAAATCGCAACACGAATTATCTCCCTTCTTTCTATCCAATCAGAAAACGTGTTACATCGACTTACCTCCAACCTGACTAATACAAGCAAATGTGGGGCCACAAATATAAGAAATGGAGACGCCATCGATCCGCCGTTACATGACTGAGTTCTGTCTAGAAGAAACGTTTGCGCATCGCGCAGGTGAAGAGGTTCTAGTTTTCCCGAAGCATACGGAAATTACCTAGGCCTTGCTAATGATCACTTTTGAAACAACGTCGCTGATTGCCCAACTAAATCTGATTGCAACCAATCACGAATCCTGAACACTCGCACCATGAAAGGTAGTATTAGAACAGAGGTTCGTAGGAAGATATGACAAGTAACCTCTGTGGGAAGAGAATGAAGAAGTGTGAGCGAGTCTGGTTTTATGCCACTTTGAACATTATTTCACGGAAAGATGGAAGTAATATAGGTGTTAGACGCTTGTCTCTCGAGAAAGGTAACGGCGTTAGCAGCCCAAAAACAGAATACAGGAAGAGTGCACAGCTGGTAATACGAACAATGCATTAAAAATGTTGTATAAAATGCATAGAATTGTAATGACATATTCACATGACATTCTGATCGTGGTCTAGTTTAACATTATTTAAGTTTTGATACACCTCAATAGTTCAAGCAAAGGTTATTGCATTGCTAACATATACATGGCTGATTTGATTTTTCAGTTGGTCGTTTTGGTTTGGTTCGGGGTTTTTTAGGCTCCATCGAGATTCCGAGTTTTATGAATCATTCAGCAACAAATTCTGTCAATTGAGTTGAGAATCGATGACCTGGTTGATTGCATGGCATCGTATCCAGAAGGCGGGGATCTTCTTTCACAATATGTCACTGGATTGTATGGTCCAGACTCATTTATTTACTGCCCACCTTTATATAGAGGTACGTAATACTGCTAAGTGCGGAGTTAAGCAACAAACAAATAACCAACAAATACAAATATTAATTTTGTTTTGTTTTGACTTGTTTCTGGTGTGATCGAACAGTGCCCAGATACTTCTCCAATGTAAATGCTGCACGATCGATATACAGAGCTGCAGACTCGATAGCGATGTGCAACTGGCAGCAAGTGATGCAGATCTAGGGTTTGTAATTCCCAGTAGTTTCTAGAAGACAGTGACAAGTCTTGGACTACATGCACACGCACCGGTCTGTGAATCATTCATCTCAAAGTTAATGTATACTTCTATGTACTCCCAAACATGTACAAGTTTTCTGAAATGCTCCCATCCTGTAACTTTCTAATGTCAGACATCTGTGCCGCTCTCAGTCGATACTGTTGAATAATGCTAAAGAATTCGTAAGCGTCATGTCTTAAAAACTATAGGGTTATCTCAAAGCAGATATCAAGTTGTTGATTTGCGTTATAATTCAGAAAAATCGATAATAGGTGAGCGGTTGTTTACAGAGAGTCTGGTCTTGGGTAGAGATCTATCGGATATGTATTTCTGACACTCGTATAGACTCGGCTCTGGCGAAATTGGAAACAGAATTAAGACGAAAAGAAGAGGAACTAGAAAGAGAGAAACGGGAATGAGAGAGACAAGGACGCGAAAGGAGAGAACGAGAGGAACAAGAACGCCAGCGCAGAAAACAGGAGGAGACCGCTCAAAAGGAAAAGGAAAAAAGTCTTCCACAGATGGTATGTAAATGATGATTAGTTACCCATTGTTACCCGTGTTTGAAAGTACTCTTCTCAACCTTGGTACCTTGGTTGCCGCTCTGTGAATACTGTTTCTTATTGACGTACAGTGGAATCTGTCAAATCCGGACTCTTTGTAAACCGGTTTACTCCATAATCCGGACTACTCTCGGAGTCCCGGGAAAATTGTTCTTTATTTGTCATTAAAGCTAGCTTTATAACCAGAACTCTGTCAGTTATGGATTACGGACTAAAATGTGCATAATAAAGACTTCATTACTGTAGAAATATAATATTATTGTTTATTCAATTTCGTTAAAGATCCCTTAAATTTTTAAAATTTACTTTTGTTTTTATCCAAAACGTTTGCATATTTAATTACTTAAAAATGTTCAAAAATATTGTGATGCATTCGGTGTACCACTGTCTTGTTATGTGTTTATTGGAAAAAGATACGCTCACGTTTTTTTGTGAAATGGTTGTATCGTTATTATTATATCATGAATGTGGTTGCTTGTTAATGTGTACAACACAGCGAACAACCCATTGACAGCAACATGAATCTGGATGTTTGTTGATATGTAGAACACAGAGCATAGCCCGTTATCAGATATCATGAATTTGGTCCTTTGTTGATGTGTAGAACGCAGCGTACAGTCCGTTGTCAGATATAATGAATCTAGGTGTTTTGTATGTGTAGAACACAGCGTACAACCCATTTTCAGATATCATGAATCTGGGTGTTTTTTTATGTGTAGAACACACGTACAGCCCATTGTCAGATATCATGAATCTGGGTGTTTTTTGATGTTCCAAACACAGCGTACAGCCCGTTTTCAGATATCACGAATCTGGTTGTTTGTTGATGGACAGAACATAGCGGACAACCCATTGTCAGATATCATGAATCTGGGTGTTTGTTGATGTGTAGAACGCAGCGAACAGTCCGTTGTCAGATATCATGAATTTGGTTGTTTTTTTATGTTCTGAACACAGCGTACAGTCCGTTGTCAGATATCATGAATTTGGTTCTTTGTTGATGTGTAGAACACAGCATACAGTCCGTTGTCAGTACAGTCCGTTATCAGATGTCATGAAATTGGTTGTTTGTTAATGTGTAGAACACAGCGTACAGTCCGTTGTCAGATGTCATGAATTTGGTTGTTTGTTCATGTGTAGAACACAGCGTACAGTCCGTTGTGAGATATCATGGAGGAGGGAGATCTGTCTTCATCCGGAAGGTCCTCAACACCTGGTACATCGACAGGCTCCACTTCATCAACGCTCATTTATGATCGAGTTACACCTCCACCTTCAGCAAACGTTCCAGCACAAACTCCAGCTCCAGCAAATTGTGCAGCAAATGCTCCACAAAGCTCCCCATCACCACCACCGCCTTCCGAAGAGTCCCCTTCGCACTCGCAGTCACCACCAACCGATGACCGGGCCTAGTAAGTTCTTCAATAGTCTTAACACTAACGTTAGTAAATTGTTTTCATGTTTTCTTTCATTTGATCTTTTTGTTATGAAATGCAAATTTAGTTTGTCATTTATCATCATCTAACAACGTGCCTTGACATTCTGTTTCCCCTGACGCATCTTAAAAGACGTTAAAAGATGGTATTTGTTGTCACCCTCCTTGATGTTCGGCACTAATGAGGTAGGGCGGAGGCATGAATCAAACTGTCAGCTCGGGTTACCGCGTCTGAGTTGGTTATTCATTTTAAACTGCAACACGGTATCCACGGTATTGGTCTCGAGTTGTAACAGACACACGCATGTGCACACGCACATGCATACCCCTTCAGCGAGTTGTATTCAATGCAGTTCAGTTGGTACATTCTTTGATGATGATGATGATGATGATGATGATGATGATGATTTATGTGCCTCCTGCCCCGACGACATAGCGTCACATAGGCGGATCCAGATCCCCCCTTTTGTCCTGAAAGTGTATTACCTGATCATTGAAACCTTCTTAAGAATGAAATGTGCACCCCCTTTTTCAATAGTGTGCACCCCTCCTTTCGCAAAAAGCTGTATCCGCCCCTGCGTCAGTGGTGTAT